GCTACAGCCAACAGCGGCAGCAGCAACTCGTGTTCCCTGCCACTCAGTCTGTTTTTTTCTGTGTCTGTCAGCTGAACAACAGCTCCACTTTCGGCCCAGCAGCCGCCATAAGGGGCAAATGCATTTTTTTGCTGTTTTGAATTTAGCGATCAAATTCTAAATAAGAAATATTTATAAATTTCCAATCCCCCCGACGATCCTCCCATTGCTGTCCCCATAGATTATTTTGTCGGCATTTGCCAGCTATATCGGGGTATTGTTTACATCGATCAGTTCGCGTTGTTGTTGTTATTTTTTGCACTTTATTATTATTACTATATTTTCCTATTCACCACTATTTTACACCCTATGCCACCAGGCCGGTCGAGCGAATAAGCGAGCAGTCAGCCGGACCGTCAGCGAGTCAAGCCTGTTGCTAAAACACCACCGCGTGTTATGTGGTTTTTTGGCATTGTTGCTGGCTGTTTGCCTGCCTGCCGCTGCTGGCCGGTTTGTTTTCATTCAAATGACGTCCATATACCTGTCAGCCAGCCACAAAAACAGTTCTGTGTTGGGGATGCAATTCGACGTTATACGCTTTGCTCTGTTGTTGTTGTTGTCGTTTTTGTTGTTACAAAATTGCCAATTGAAATGGAGTTTAGATAAGCGTTTTTTTTTCGTATTTGTTCTCCATCGATCGATCGATTGCAAGTAACTAAATGTTAGTTTGTCTATTTAAAGGGAAAGAGATTGGCGTTTTTATGACGTTATTTTGATATCGATGCAAAACAACAGCAACAACAACATCGTCGTCAAAAAGCGTGTTCCAGTTGAAGCGTCAATGAAAAATGATGAATTGTTTACGCCTTTGCTAAGGGCACGGTACTGATGATGATGACCATCATTGGTCCGATGATGGTAGTAAATGTCAAGGTTTCAAAGGTTTCAAATTAGAAAATATATAGGAAAACTACAAAAAAATGTTTTGCTATAAAGAGAAGATATTCCAAACTTCTTCTTCTTCTACAGACAGATGACCTAGTGAACGTCTTCTTCTAAAAATCCAAAGCCAGGATGTCTTTTAAAGGGTTTTTTAGACTTTTTAAGATATTTTATTATAGAAAACCTTATAATAATAATAATAATAATAATAATAATAATAATAATAATAATAATAATAATAATAATAATAATAATAATAATAATAATAATAATAATAATAATAATAATAATAATAATAATAATAATAATAATAATAATAATAATAATAATAATAATAATAATAATAATAATAATAATAATAATAATAATAATAATAATAATAATAATAATAATAATAATAATAATAATAATAATAATAATAACAACAACAACAACAACAACAACAACAACAACAACAACAACAACAACAACAACAACAATAATAATAATAATAATAATAATAATAATAATAATAATAATAATAATAATAATAATAATAATAATAATAATAATAATAATAATAATAATAATAATAATAATAATAATAATAATAATAATAATAATAATAATAATAATAATAACAATAATAATAATAATAATAATAATAATAATAATAATAATAATAATAATAATAATAATAACAACAACAACAACAACAACAACAACAACAACAACAACAACAACAACAACAACAACAACAATAATAATAATAATAATAATAATAATAATAATAATAATAATAATAATAATAATAATAATAACAACAACAACAACAAAATAATAATAATAATAATAATAATAATAATAATAATAACAACAACAACAAAATAATAATAATAATAATAATAATAATAATAATAATAATAATAATAATAATAATAACAATAATAATAATAATAATAATAATAATAATAATAATAATAATAATAATAATAATAATAATAATAATAATAATAACAATAATAATATAATAATAATAATAATAATAATAATAATAATAATAATAATAATAATAATAATAATAATAATAATAATAATAATAATAATAATAATAATAATAATAATAATAATAATATAATAATAATAATAATAATAATAATAATAATAATAATACTAATAATAATAATAATAATAATAATAATAATAATAATAATAATAATAATAATAATAATAATAATAATAATAATAATAATAATAATAATAATAATAATAATAATAATAATAATAATAATAATAATAATAATAATAAAATAATAATAATAATAATAATAATAATAATAATAATAATAATAATAATAATAATAATAATAATAATAATAATAATAATAATAATAATAATAATAATAATAATAATAATAATAATAATAATAATAATAATAATAATAATAATAATAATAATAATAATAATAATAATAATAATAATAATAATAATAATAATAATAATAATAATAATAATAATAATAATAATAATAATAAACGAGTGGGCCGATATACCCCACCTTCACAACAGATCTTGAATTAATAAAAATATTGGGATTTGGGAAATTTGAAGACAATCGACAAGACTTATTTCGCTTTTAATGAAGGATTTATGATGGGGGAGGTACAAGAAAAACTGGTCCGATATATTCCACTTTCACAGCTGATCTTGTGTTAGTTTAAATTTTGAGATGTGCCGAGCTTAAAATGGAATCGGATGTTCATTTGGGTTTTACGAACTTCATAGCTATTCAGTATTTTGAATCGTTGTGGGGGAAGTACCACATAGACTGGACTGATATCTGCCACCTTCACATCATATCTTGTGTTAATAAAAATATTGGGATTTGGGAAATTTTGGGAGAATGAGAGGCTTATTTCGCTTTTTATGATATACAGGGTGAGATAAAAACTGCAACAATGTCAAATCCTATAATTTTTACATTTTTAAATTTTATTGAATGAAACAAAAATGTGTCGGAAATAGCATTAAATTTTAGAATAAGTTTAGATTTGTTCGAATTGGTCACCTTTGGCACGAATTATGGCCAATGAAACCGTCACACGCTACCCGAATGTTGCTCTGCGGTATTTTGGCCCATTCCCGGCGAAGCGCATGCTTGAGGTGATCAACAGTTTGGTATTTTTAAGTGCCAACCTTGCTTTCCAAAAAACTGCCGACACAATAGTCCAACGGATTGGTATCCGGAGATTTTGGTGGCCATTGTGCGCCGGAAATGAAGCGAGGAACCTCATTTTGTAACCATTCTTGGGTGGCGCGTGCTAAGTGCGAAGGTGCTGAGTTCTGTTGAAATATCCAAGATCTGCGGCCAAAATGTTTACGGGCCCAAGTCATTAATACACCCTCCAGAATATTTTCGCTATAATATTCGGCATTTTTTCTGATGCCAAGGTCGATTAATACGAGCGGAGAGCGATCATCGGGTGTTATGGCGGCCTACACCATCACCATGGCCGGCGCTTGAGTTCTGGTGGCCAACCGAGGGTGCAAATTTTCAGCTGACATCTTTGGCAAGTAAACACGATTATTTTGTTTGTTTACAAACTGCTGGATAACGAATGTTTTCTCATCGGAGCGAACCAATTTCGACAGTTCACCACTTTCGGCTAAGCGTAGCAATTCTTTAGCTCTTTTGAGTCTACTTTTTTCTGTTGCGGAGTAAGTTCTTGCACTTTGGAATTTTGATGGCTTTACCCCGAGCTCATTTTTCAATATTTACCGAATAAAATATTGCCATATGTTCAGCTCACAAGCCATTTTTCGGCCACTGCGGCGAGGATTTCGATCAAGTCGCTTCTTTAATTTTCGAACCATTTCTGCTGATGTTGCTGTTTTCTTCCGTCCGCTTCCTTGACGGCGGGCTACACTATCATTATCACCGTAACGAGCGATGGTACGAGACACAAAAGACTTATTCACATTTAAATGCTGGAGTGCTCTGGCGATAGCCACTTGTGATTTTCCAGCCAAATATAAAGAAATCCCACTATCACGCTTGAATTCCATCACGAATAACTTTTTTTCTAGAAAATTCTCACCAAAATGCTTTTGTGCGCTTGAAAAAAATATAATGAGATGTCACTGGAATAATTTTCACAGCAGTCAGACGAGTGGCTTAGAAATCACAGCAGTGTAAAGATTGTTGCAGTTTTTTCATTTGGGAAATTTGAGGAGAATGGAAGGCTTATTTCACTTTTTTATGAAATATATAATTATTTAAAATTTTGACCCGTTGTGGGGGAGGTACCAGAGGGCGACATATTCCCTCCTCACGCCAGATCTTGTGTTAATGAAAATGTTGAGATGTGTAAAATTTGAAGACAATCGGACTCTTATTTCACATTTTACGTGGACAGACATGGTCAATTTTGGAAGTAAATTTACCTACTGAGGAAAATACACATGTGTTCAGATTTGTAATCTTTTATCACAATTGGTTCAAAAGATAGCGTGATTACAACAGACAGACACACACACAGATACGACACGGACATCGCTAAATCGATATAGAATTTTACGCTGATCAAGAATATATATACTTTATAGGGTCGAGGAATTCCAAACGGAATATCAAGGTTAATATACCCTTATTATAATATGGAGGGGCGTATAAAAATATTCACAAGAATGGATTTAAAAAATGCTCTCGCTTGGATTTAAAAATAATATTTTTGCGGGATTTAAAAAAACCTTAATCAAAAAAACCAAAATTTTCTCGATTGATTTACAAAAAGTAGGTTTTCCGGAGGCATCAGTCCACCTTTTCGGAATCGTTTGGCGATTGCAATTCGTTTGACTTTGCTAATAGCTAAGTAGCAAATCCGCTTACAATACATTGTTGCAGCGGTTCGAATTCAAAGGGAAGAAAAACAAAATGCTTAGAATTTTATGTAACTAAACACAACAACCTGCATATGATATTGTCTGTTGAAAAACAATTTTTTCTATTTAAATGTATTGAGATTTTCTTTGGCATTTGTTTGTTTTGAAAATATTAATTTCGTATTTCTTTTTTTCTCTTTTTCCGCTGTCATTGCAGGCCTGCATCGATGATAATCTAGAAATGGTCGAATTTCTGGTGGAACAAGGCGCCGATATAAACAGACAAGACAACGAAGGTTGGACACCCCTGCACGCCACAGCCTCATGCGGGTATGTATCACAAACACACACCAACACACACACACTCTGGTCCCACTATTCCATTCAAAATACATAAATATCGAAATATGTGCCAAACATTTGTTGTTCTGCTTCTTTTTTTCTTCTTCCTCTTCTTCTTTTCGTCTGTCGATTTTGCGGCTAAAACAAACAAATAAACGGATTACACGAAGAATAACGACAACAAATGTTTCCCCTATCCCCTCATCCGTAACAGCAAAAGTTCAGAACTTTAAACGAAATACCAAAAATTGCATAATTATGAATTATTTCACCATCAGATGTGTCTGTAACATTGCCATCAACGCTATCCCTTACAGCGGACATCATGGGATTAATGGGGTTCAAGAGAGAGATATATAGGGCAATTTGTAAATTTTCCATTATATTTTCATAAATTGGATCGAAAGTACCCCTTTTAGTAGCCATTTCCTAGAAAGATTCGTGTCAACACTACAAACGTTTTTTAGTCTTGCTAGCTATCCTAAAGATGGGGGGTTTTAAGCACTACAGGGGTATATCAGGTCCATTATGCCTGGAGTGCATAAGACAATTTCCCTACTAGTTTACTTTCGCAATTTACTAAAACCTAGAATCCATCTTCAGAAATCAAAACAATGCATCTCTAATTAAATCCATATAATTTATATACTGTAGAATTTTCCTATCCCAGAAAGACCATATATTTTCATTTCACAAAAAAAAAATCAAATTAAAAAAATTTCTAGGCAAAAAATATCGACTAAAGTGCTTTCAAAATTGTCAATAACTCCGAAAGCCATATTTTGATAATTATGTCAAAACTATTCTTCCATCTCATATCATTTCTACAAACTAAACTCCTCCCTTTCCCCTCCATTTATATAATTTATTAATTTTCCCCTTTTTTTCTCTTGCAGCTTTGTGAGCATAGCACGCTATTTGGTGGAGCATGGTGCCGATGTTGCTGCCGTCAATAGCGATGGTGATTTAGCCGTGGACTTGGCTGTCGACATCCAACATTTGCCCATGATTGATTTCATGCAAAAAATGGTGGCCGAACAACAAATTGATTGCGCCAAAGCCCGCCAAGCCGAACAACAACAAATGCTGGCCGATGCCAAAAAATGGCTGCGCAGCGATGCTGCCGAAATTGATAGACCACATCCGAAGACGGGTGCAACAGCGCTGCACGTTGCTGCAGCAAAGGGTTATACAAAGGTGCGGTGATTTTTTCTTTTTTTGGTTTCTAAATTGGATACAAAAATATAGAAGAGTTAATGACGTCCTAGTACTGGAGATCAGAAGGTCGGTCTCGTGATAGAGAAGAAATTATGGCTTTCCGACAAATCGACTTAAATAGAAGACCGGAATATCTTCTTTCAAACCCAATGGCTCGATTTCTCGTGAAAGGCTAGAAGATCATCTTCCTTAGAAGGCAGAAGGGTCCTTTTTTTATAGAAAACCACAAGGTATTTTATAGAAGTCAGAAAATCCGAAGGCAGGAAGACTGTCTTATTAAAATAACATCAGGACATCATCTTCAATAGAAGTTCGAAAAGTCTACTTCCGTCTGTCTTCTTCCATGAAAAAAGAAAATTTCTTTTTCGGAAAACCGGCACGTCGCCTACTTCCGAAGACAAGAAAAATATCGAAATATCTGTTTTTATAGAAGACTAAAGGTCTTCCGCATCAGAATACCAAACAAAAGGCCACGAGGCCTTCACTAGTTGACCAGAAGATCATGTTCCATTGAATATCAAGAACATCAATAGGTCTCTCAAAGAAGACCAAAAATTCATAGCAGTTCCGTCGTTCAGAAGATCAATTGTTCATTTTTCCAGAAAAAATGTTTCCATAGATGACCAGTAATTCTTCTTTAATAGAAGGCCAAAAAATATTCAAGAACAATATCGAAGATCTGTTTTTTTAGAAGACCAAAAGTCTTCCGCATTAGAATACTAAACAAAAGACCACTAGGCCTTCACTAGTTGATCAGAAGGTCGTGTTCCATTGAATATCAAGAACATCAAAAGATCTTTCAAAGGAGACCAGAAGTTCATCTTTCATACCAGTCCCGTAGGTCCTTTCGCATAGAAGAAGATCAATTGTTCATTTCTCAAAGCAGACCAGTAATTCTTCTTTAATAGAAGACCACAGAATATTCTTCCTTAGAAGATCAGATGGTCTTAGCTCAAAGAAGACCAGAAAATCTTCTTCTTCGGTAGAAGCCCTGAAGGTTTCTGCTTTCCCTCATTAAAGTCCAAAAGGTCAACTCTCAAAGAGGAATTGAGGGTCCTCTATCAAAGTAGACCAGGAAGTCTTATCTCCAACAAGACCAGAAGTTCTTCTCTTTTAACTAGAAGACCTTTTCCCAAAGAGGACTAAGAGTTCTTCTTTCTTAGAAGACCAAGTGTTCTCCTTTCATAGAAGACCGTAAGACATTCTTTAATAGAAGACCAGAAGGTCTTCTTCCTTAGAGGGGCTGAATGTCTTCTTTCATAGATGCTTAGGGGTTATTTCATGGAAGACCAGAAGATCCTTTTTATGGAAGTCGACAATGTTCTTTTTTTTTCAAAAAAGATAGAAAGTCTTCTTTCAAAGAAGACCACAAAGTTTTCTCTAATAGAAAACCAGAAGCTCTTCTCTAATAGAAGACCAGAAGGATGTATTTCATAGAAAATCAGAAATCTTTCTTTCATGAAAGTCATCTTCTTCATGTGGTCATCCTCTTTAGAGAACATTTCATTCTTTCATTTACTTCGATTAGAAGACCAGACTGCCTTCTTCTTTAAGAGAAGGCCAGAACGACTTCTTCTTGACAGAATATAAAAAAAGGTCTACTTTCAAAGAAGGTCAAAAGGGTTTCCCTCAAGGAAAAAGTAGAAGGTCTTCTCTCTAGAAGGCCAGAATTTAACTTTCCTTTCTTGTTTGACGTTTTTGTAGACACCTAGAATTTTCTTTCAATAGAAAAACTGGAAGAAATCTTCCCAATCTAAGACTTCTGAACTTCTGTGATCCATTATCTTCAATCTTAAAAATTAAAATTAAAATTTTCATATTTATAATTACAGGTTTTAAGTTTACTGCTCGCTGGACGTGCTAATGTTGATGCTCAAGACAACGATGGTTGGACACCATTGCATGCTGCCGCCCATTGGGGCCAAAAGGAGGCAGCCCAGATGCTGCTCGATGCCATGGCCGATATGGATGCCCATAATTATGCCGGTCAGACGTGTATCGATGTGGCCGATCGTAAAATGGTTAAATATTTGGAAGAATATCGAGCCAATAACAAACGTATTAAACGAAGGCCATCTAGTCAAATCAGGTAGGAAATTCGATAAAGAAACCCGATATTTACTAATTATTGGAATTCTTCTTTTAAATTTACAGTCGAATCTCAGATACAATTGAAAATCATATGGATAAGACACCACCCAAAATTATACGTGTTGAAGTTCGACCTGATAATAATAAGGACCATCCTAATGGTAAGTTTTTCCAAGGAGGGAAGTTTGGAGAACATTTTTTAGTGAGGACAATAAATATAATTGCAATTTTAATGATCCTAGAAATCTGCAGTTTATCATTAGAGATTGTGAAATTTCACTTATTATTCGATAATTATGTTAGAATAGTGTTCGGTTTCGAATATTTTAAGGTCACTTAGTCCCTAATCAAGTTGAGTTAATATAAGGTGTATGTATCAATAAATTACCTTGGTCATTTTTTTTTTGTAAACCAAATTCATTAGGACCTTCCGAAGAAAATTCCAAATTGTATAAATATATTTGTAAATCGCTCTATAAAAGCTTAGCAATGAATAAGAAGTATAGATTGTATCAGAGTGTAACGCATTCTTTTTAAATCTAGTCCATTACAGATTAATTATATGTATCTCCTTTTTGAATATTGAAAAAATTAATTTATTTTATTGGCAATACAGGGTGAGATAAGAAGAACTGCAAACGCCATAATTTTTACATTTTTTTCAATTTTTATTGAATTGGTCACCTTTGGCACGAATTATGGCCTTCAAACGGCCAAAGAAACCGTCACACGCTGCCCGAATGTTGCTTGCTATGCGGTATTTTGGCCCATTCCCGGCGAAGCGCTTGCTTGAGTTGATCACATTTTGGTATTTTTTAGTGCCAACCTTGCTTTCCAAAATACTCCAGACACAATAGTCCAACGGATTGGTATCCGGAGATTTTGGTGACCATTGTGCGCTGGAAATGAAGCGAGGAACCTCATTTTGTTACCATTCTTGGGTGGCGCGTGCTGTGTTCAACACACGAGCCATTTTTCGGCCACTGCGACGCGGGTCTCGATCAAGTCGCTGCCTTACTTTGCGAACCATTTCTGTTGATGTTGCTGTTTTCTTCCGTCCACATCAGTATCATTCATACCGATGCATTCGCGGATGCTATTAGCAGTTATCAAATTAGTGTCGTCCTCGGAGTCCACCCCCATCCATTGCAGCTGAAGAACGTCAGCTGCCTAGACAAACCAGGGTAGTTTTTGGCGCAATTACGTTCAGGATGGGGTAGTCGTCTCAATTCGTATTGGGCACGAATTGATGAAGATGTGCGTGAGGCCTGTCCGGCGTGTGATACAGGCCCGAACAATACGCTGCACCTCTTTAATTGCACAGCCAAACCTACCCAACTCACTTCAGAAGATCTATGGCTACAGCCCATTAAAGTAACCGAATGTCTAAACCTGGAGCTGGAACCAGATTAGCAGAACGCAATCACTTGCATGTACTACTGCTACAACAACAACCAGTATCACGGTAACGAGCGGAGTGCTCTAACGATAGCCATTTGTGGTATTTCAGCCAAATATAAAGAAATCACACTATCACATTCCATAACGAATAACTTTTTTCTGGAAAATTCTCACCAAAATATAATGAGCTCTCAGTGGAATAATTTTAAAAGCTGTCGGACGAGTGTCTTAGGAATGACAGAAGTCCTTGCAGATTTTTCATCTTACCCTGTATAATTTCTATATACATATTTCTATATATATATGCATAAACCGTATTTATGAAACCATGGTCGATAGGTAAATTTTTACTAAACCTTGGAAAATGAAGTGAGATCTATTAATCAACATATGTTCAGCTTATATTTATCCAAAAGAATAAGAAAAACAATTTCTAATTGCTGATTTATTATTTTATATTTTTGACTTCTCCAAAGTTTTAAGCCAATATTCAATAATTTTATTAATATTTTTTCTTTATTATTTTTCAATGTTTTGTATTTGTATATGTATGTGGGGGTATAAATTTATTATTGCCTTCCTGTGGGATACATATATGTGGAATGTTCTTATGATTTGTCGATATCTGTTTTATTTTGTCCTTTGCCGGCCTCTTCATTAGGGTCCCATGGCCGTTAATAAAAAATACATTTTCAATGTATTTCCATTTCATTTATGATTCCATTCGATACCATTTTAAGCATTTCTTCATTTGTTTTCCATAATTCATTATAAGTTTTTGTTTCTCTTACGATACGATGCGTGCGTCTCTCATGTCTACATCATTTCGATTATGGTCCATTATCAATGTCATCTTTATCACAATAATCAATTAAATTTCACATGTTTTCATTACGATTACATAATTTTCTCTATCTACATCATATTGATGTCTAAACTATAACTTGATGGATGATTTTGTTGTTCTCTCCACATTTCCTTTTGATTCTTGTGTCTACTTTCCCCTTTTTGTTTTTGTTATTTGTTTCTTGAAATTTGTATCGTTTTACTTTTTTGTGTTGTTGTAAATGCTGTCCACAACACATCTTTAGTTTCAACAAGTGCCGCTGCCTCAACATCCGGCTACAGTAGTAGTTGTAGTGGCAGCAGTGGTCTACCCACAAATTCGGAATCTGAAGAAACGGACTCTGATCTAACTGATTCGACAGAGAGTTCGCATTCGACGAGTGTTTCTGGGTCTAATGAAGAAGGTATCGTCGTGAAAAGTAATGTTTGTTTTTTCTTCTTAAGTTTTACTGCACGTTTTCCTTTTTTGGTATAAAAATAATTTCCAGGAAATGTTTCTCTTTTTTTGTAATTAATGACATTCTTGTGGTCTTTGATTTTAATTTGAATTTTTGATAATATTTACAGCTCTTCTTACATCTAATATCGGTGTTGTATTGTTCAAATGTTTTTATGTTTAAATTTTCATTGATTTATTATTGTTCAAGTGTTAGATTGGGCCTAGAATCTTTCAATGTGATTATGCGAGGATTTTTAAATTCGTACCGAAATACATCAGTCTGTAATAATTGTGAAAAATTGACAAGTTACCGCCACATATTTAGTCCTTTTTATACCCTCCACCATAGTATGGAGGTATATTAAGTTTGTCATTCCGTTTGTAGAACCTCGAAATATACATTTTAGACCCCACAAAGTATATATATTCTTTATCGGCATAAAATTCTATGTCGATTTAGTGATGTGCCTCCGTCTGTGGAAATCACTCTAGCTTCTGAAGGAAATGAAGTAGGAAGATGATATTTTACTCAAAAGTATATTATGTCTGCAGGGCTTTTGGTATTGAAAATGGCCGTTTTGGTATTGCCCCCATATAATGGTACCCCCCTATTTTCGGTATTTAGTAAATGTTTCAAATTTTGTATTTGAAGTTCGTAATGCATACTACAGCCTATAACAGAAAATTGTCTGTGTAGATCCAAGTTTTGGTATAGCCCCCATATAACGGTACCTCACTATTTTCGGTGCCTTGGCGATTTAAGCGACATTATTCACCGGAATTGTTTCAAATTTGGTGTTTGAAGTTCGTAACAGAAAAATGTCTGTGCAGGTCCGTATTTTGGTATGGCCCCCATATAACGGTACCTCCCTATTTTCGGTGTTTTGGCTATTTAAGCGATATTATTCACCGTGATTGTTTCAAATTTGGTATTTGAAGTTCGTAATGGATACTACAGCCTATGACAGAAAAATGTCTGTACAGGTTTACGTTTTGGTATAGCCCCCATATAATGTTACCTCCTTATATTCGGTATTTTGATGATTTTAGCTACATTATTCACCGATTTTTTTATTTCAAGTTTCGCATTTGAATATTTTAAATGGCTTATGACCAAAGTTGCCTGTGCAGGTTCACTTCGTCGTATAAACCCTAATATAATGGCTACATTCGGTGTTTTTAGGATTTAACAGAATTGTTAACGGATTTTATTTTTTGGACAATTGCTAAATTCGTTTCAAATTGTGGTGGAGGGTATTCAAAGTTCGACCCGGCCGAACTTACAGCTTTTTTACTTGTTTATGATATTCATCTGCAATTGTTTTCTTTATATATTATAAATGTACCAAAGTTTTGTTCCTCTTAACTTTTTTTTAATCAATTCTAAACTTCAAAAAAAAAAAAAAATAATAATATTTATGTTTTGTACTCTCATTGTAATTGTTTATGATCTATATTTTTTAATTAAAGTCTGCAATATATATTTATGTTAAAATTTTATTAAAAACATTATTAAAATTTATAAAAATGTATTTAACGTGTTTTATTTATCATTTATTTAGATGATAAAACATCTGTACAGAAAACAACAAACGAACAACCCGCCACAGAAGATGAGGCGCCATGGCGTCGTAATAATGTCGCCCGAGTGCGTACCAGCAACGACAGTCCAAGTAAAAATCGTAAGTTTAAACAAATACATCCAATTTCAATATCGTTTTATATTTAATCATTTTTGGTCTTTTGCCTTAGAAGTTCCTGATGTTATTGATGTTAACAAAACAACAACAGCAACACCAAATGCCGCCACAACAGAAACGACAGATGTCATACTTCGACGAACTCAAAGCTTTGAGAATGATGAAAAGTGAGTAAATTGTTTGAAATATTTGCCAAATTTTTGTTTTATTTATTTTTGTGTTATATTTATTATATAAATTTTGTTTTTTGTGTGTGCTTTAATTCCTTTTTTTTAAGAAAACAATTTGTAGTATTTAAATTAGTTTTTATTAAAAATTTCCGTAAAGTTATTTTTTAGCTGCTAGCTAGCTGCATACACCAAAAAAAACAACTGCTAGATTTTATCTATCTTAGTGATAACACGCTTTTTTAAAACGGGAATTTCTACTGCTTTATACATATGTATTTCTTATTTTGTTGCGGCTGCTGTTGTTGCTCGAGTTCTAGGAATGTTGAGTGCATTTTTCAAATGCCTTATTTTTGATCTTATCACATTCTTTGTTTTTAAATGTAGTACTTCTTGAGCCACTGGTATTAGATAATGTATTTTTAAAACCTATCATCTTGTTTGAAAAATAGTCGCCTGTTACATATATATGCAGAAATGGAGTTAAATTTAAATGTTGGCTGTGCTAAAAGAACCTGGGCAGGTAGAATTCTGTTTGCTACTGAACTTAGATCCGACTTTTTTGGAAACTCTAAAGGTGTGAGTAAATAAGCAGTTTGAACACTTTGTAAGACATATTTTTTGACATATCATAAATGAGCCGCACTCGAATTCTGTCGCCGTTTCCCATATAATTTGACGGTAGCCATGATGCCAAGCTGTTTATGTACACTCACCTCAAGCGTTTTTGAATTATTTATATTAGATTTCCTTAGCAAAAATAAGCTTTGCTGTGAAAAAGGTTTGGTAGTACAACTACTATTCGACTTGGTTTGTTCTGGGGTTAATTTGCACATGATTTATAGTAATTATTTTGAAATAAATACTACCTTCGAAACCACGGCCCTTGTTAATCATCCATACCACATATACCTGATGATCCACTTAACCAACGGCGAAAACGCGTCAAATTGCGGTGGCTGTGTGGTAGTGTCTCTCTGGCGTTCATTTTCACTACAGCTTCAGATCATTAAGCTCTTCTTAAAGAACAAACGAAGACAAGAAATACATATACTTGTTGGGCTTCAAACTGGTAAAGGGTAGTGGGCCAGGGCCAGGGTGTCTAAGAACTGAACTGACGAAAAAGCATAAGTGTGTGAAGGAATACAGGGTTAGATAAAAAAACTGCAACAAAGTCAAACGCCATAATTTTACATTTTTTTTAATTTTATTGAATGAAAGCAAAAAATGTTGGAAATAGCATCAAATTTTAGAAGTACTTTAGACTTGTTCGAATTGGTCAACTTTGGCACGAATTATGGCCTTCAAACGGCCAAAGAAACCGTTACACGCTGTCCGAATGTTGCTCTGCGGTATTTTTGTCCATTCCCGGCGAAGTGCATGCTTGAGGTGATCGACACTTTGGTGTTTTTTAGTGCCAACCTTGCATTCCAAAATACTCCAGACACAATAGTCCCACGGATTGGTATCCGGAGATTTTGGGGAGGAACCTTATTTTGTAACCATTCTTGAGTGGCGCGTGCTGAGTGCGATAGTGCTGAGTCCTGTTAGAATATCCAAGAGCTGCGGCCAAAATGTTTGAGTGCCCAAGACTTTAATACACCCTCTAGAATATTTCCGCTATAGTATCCGACATTTATTTTGATGCCACGGTCGATTAATACGAGCGGAGACCATCGGCTCTTATGGCGGTCCACACTATCACCATGGCCGTCTCTTGAGTTCTGGTGGCCAACCGAAGGTGCACATTTTCAGCTGACCTCTTTGGCAAGTAAACACGATAATTTAATTTGTTTACAAACTGCTGGACAACGAATGACTTTCACATCGGAGGAAACCAAATTCGACAGACCACCACTTTCGGCCAAGCGAAGCAACTCTTTAGCTCTTTATTTAGCTCTATTTCTTTCTGTTGCGGTGTAAGTTCTTGCACTTTTTGGAATTTCAATGGATTTACCCCGAGCTGATTTTTCAATATTTGCCGAATGAAATATTGCGATATGTTCAGCTCACGAGCTATTTTTCCGCCACTGCGACGCGTTTTTCGATCAAGTCGCTTTTTTACTTTTCGAACCATTTCTGCTGATGTTGCTGTTTTCTTCAGTCCACTTCCTTGACGTCGGGCTACGCACCAGTATCACAGAAACGAGCGATGGAAAGAGACACAAAAAATGTATTCACATTTAAATGCTGGAGTGCTCTAACGATAGCCACTTGAATGCTTAAATTCCATCACGAATAACTTTTTTTCGGGAAAATTCTCACCAAAATGCTTTTGTACGCTTGTAAAGAATATAATGAGCTTTCACTGGAATAATTTTAACAGCTGTCGAGCGCGTGGCTTAGAAATGACAGCAGTCTGAAGTTGGTTGAAGTTTTTTCATCTCACATTGCAGTTTTCTTGTAGTGTCCCTTTCTGTGTAATGTATGTGTTTTCTATATAAATTACATACAATTTTTATACCCTCCACCATACTATTGAGGGTATATTAGCTTTGTCATTCCGTTTGTAACTCCTCGAAATATTCATGAGTAGTGTATATAGTATACATATGCTGGATTAGTGTAAAATCCTAAGGCGATGTAGAGATGTCCGCCTGTCTGTGTGTATTTCTATCTGTCTGTCTGTTGTAATCACGCTCTATTTCGAACGAATTGGGATAAAAGGTCAGCATTTTGCACACATGTGTATTTCGATACATACACAATTTTTATACCCTCCACCATACTATTGAGGGTATATTAACTTTGTCATTCCGTTTGTAACTCCTCGAAATATTCATGATGGGAGATACCCTATAAAGTATACATATTCTGGCTTAGTGTAAAATCCTAAGGCGATGTAGAGATGTCCGCCTGTCTGTCTGTTATAATCACGCTATCTTTTGAACGAATTGAGATAAAGGGTCAAAAATTTGCACACATGTTTATTTCGATAGTAGGCAGTATTTGAAGTATGTAATGGGTACCACAGCCTATTCATAAATATTTCCTAAGCATGCCCACGTCTTTGTATAGCCCCCCCCAATATAACGGTACCTCCATTTATTCGGTATTTTGATTATTTTAGCGACATTATTCGCCGGAATTGTTTCAAATTCCGTATTTAAAGATCTAAATGGATACTGCAGCCTATGATAAAAACTACCTATGCAGGTCCCCGTATAAAGTTCATCACATAAGCGGACTCTTTTTGGAATTTCTTGAAAAATTTCAAGTTCTTGGTTGGGAGGGTATTTAAAGGTCGGCCTGGCCGAACTGCTGCTTTTTACTTGTTTGCATTCAGTTTTTTAATGCCATCGTTGTTTTTTTTTACATTTAAATATCTAGCCTTTACCGTAATTCGATAAGTGAACATATGTTTTTTATCGCAAGGGCAACTAAAGTCCTGTCTCATATAACTATTGAAATCAAAAAAACCCTTTCTATGGGGAGAATACCTTCTCACTTTAGTTTTCACAACATTTTGTCGTCAAGTCGCTTCAAAACATTTTGATGACACCTTCCTCAAACCACCGTTAATATTTCTCATCATGGTTATGATTTCATTGTAATTTGATTGTATCATCGCCTTTTTTTAATAAAACACAAATTACTTTATTTCTCATTTGATTTGTAATTGCTGTTGTTGTTGTTCGTGTTTTTTTTTTCTCATCGAGATATGATAAGACAATATATTATTGTTCAGAAAACTGACCAACTTTTTTTTGCCAAGCTCAAGCAAACAAACCACTGCCCAATAATTTTTTAATAGGAACCACAACTACAACAACAACAATAAGAAAACAATTAAACAATCACAATCCAAAATAGTTATTTGTTTATATTTCAATATTTGTTTTGTCTCTCCTGCTCTTTTTCCAACGACGTCGCTAATCTCAAGTTGTTATTACCACTTTTGGTTAAATATCTCCCAAAGACCAGTCAACAGCGGCGATAACAACTCATTTTTATGAATGAATCATAGAGAGTGGTATTTTGTCAACAAACCAAAAAATGCGAAAACTGAAAAAAAAAACAAAACGAATTGAAAAAGATTAATTGTTGGTTGTAGGAGCGAAGAGAACATACACACCACACACATGAAGAAAGGAGCTTAAAACATGCAATAACGTTAGTTGTTGTGCACAGTGGTTCATAAGCAAAAGTTTTCATGAAAATATTATATTTAAAACAATTAAAATGTCACTTGGTTTGCCGAAAGATATATAACTTTAGCATGGGACCATTTATTTATATATATATTTTTTTGGGACGTATCGCAAATATTGGTCAAACTCGTTTTTTATACCCTCCATCGCGGTATATATTTTAACTGTGTCATACCTCTTGATCATCATAAAATTCTGTGTCGAGTTAGCAACATCCGTCAGTCTGTGGAAATCACTCCAGCCTCCAAAGGAATTGAAGTAGGTTGACACAATGTTACTCCGATGTGTGTTTGGTCTGCAGTACTTTTGATATTGAAAATGGGCTATATTAGGCCACATATTCTGATGATTTTAGCGACATTATTCACCGGAATCTTTTCAAATTTCGTAATAAAGTTTCGTAATGGGTACTACAGCCTGTGACAGAAAATTGACTATGTGGGTCCACGTCTTCATATAACGCCCATATAACAGTTCCACCCCATATCCAGTATTTTGATGATTTAAGCGACATTACTCACCTGAACTGTTTCAAATTTCGTATTTACACTTCGTAACGGCTACTACCAGATCTCAGGTATAACCCTCATATAACGGTACACTCCTATATTCGGTATTTTGATCATATTTGCGACATTTTTTTATTGTAATTGTTTCAAATTTCGTATTTGCCGTTCGCCTGTGACAGAAAATGTCAGGTTCAGATCTTCGTATTGCCCCCCATATAATGGTTCCTCCCCATGATCGGTATTTTAACGATTTTTTGTAGTATTTTTCAAGGTTTTTTTTTATGAAAATTTCCAAATTCCTTCCAAATGGTGGAGGGTATTCAAAGTTCGGCCCGGCCGAACATACTGCTTTTTTACTTGTTTTAGTGACAAGTTTATTCAAACAAGTTTCACTCTTTATTCGAATTCGAGCGGTAGCTCTCAATGTATTTCGAAGTTATGGTTTAAATCGTCCGTCCGTTGGGTACAATTTTTGGATGGCCAAGCTATTCGGATGAAATATGTAGGTTACTCTTTCGACAAGCTGGTCTAGAGCTCTTACGAAATCGGGCGTTCAGAAGTTATCAATTTTGGTCAACTGCTGATGGAGACGACTGCCTTCCAAAGGTGTACGCCGTTCACACCTTTTAAGCACCTCTATTTCGGCATCACCTCTGCATTCCATATAGAGGTGATATTCTGTATCCAAGGGGGCATTTCCCACTTAGAGGTCTTCTCTACTTATTTTATTCAAATAACCCATTACTTGGTAATGAGGAATATCATTTTTTCGATATTTATTCTTCTTAAGTCATAACCCATTATTCCCAATCTATGGATAATGTTAAAGGTACTTTACTTACATTACCTTGTATTGGATAATTGGGCTCATAGCTAGGAAAGTAACCAGCAAACAATCTAGGGGTATTTTGTTTTTTTTTTTTTAATTTTTACTACAAACCACTTTTTTACCTCCAACCATATTGCTACAGAGGGCATTTGATACGGCCAAAAACGTGCCTCGTCGAAATAAAGGTTTTACACCCTAGTTCCCTTTGGACTAAATCCGTTTCAGGACATTTCTAGAGCTGTCCGTTCGTCCGTCTTTCTTTCTGGTGCGCACGATAACTCTCGAAGGGAGTATCCGATTTGATTCAAACTTGGTACATTGTAATATTATTGTCAAACTTACTCGACCTAAGTTCGGAGATGGGCAATACAAGTCCACTCCTTCTTGAACCTCCTCCACCAAAGACCAAAATTTTATCAGAAAATAATTTTCCCTATATAAAACAAGAAAGGATCATCAAATTTTGTTCAAACCTTGCAAATCCCAAAATATGTATTAGTGCTTTGTCAGGTGGGAAAAATGGAGAATAAAGGTGCAAAATTTGGAATAATTAAAAGTCTTATAAAATATGAAATAAGAGTCAAATTGTCTTCAAATAGTACATATTCCAATATTTCCACTAACTTTATTGGTGTGAAAATGGAATATATCGGTTCACTTCTTCTGGTACCTACCGCAAAAAGGTTTAACATTTTGAATAACGATAACTCTCATAACAACCGATTCTTTTCAAATTTTGTTTATCTAAATATTTCTCTCAACCGAAGATCTGATGTGAATAAGAAATTTATCGGCCCACTCCTTCTGGTACCACCCTTACATGGGGTCAACACTTTGAATTTGCAATGTTTATATCAGAATTAGGTGAGATATGAAATGGATAATATTGGCAAACCCTTTCAAGGGTTAAAAGGAAGAATAATTTCAACGCAAGTTAATGTATATGGTAACAAGCAGACATTTACTGAGGGTACACATCTGCCGGCAAAACCGACTGATATTTATACCCTACACCAGAAGGTGGTCAGGGTATTATGTCTTTGTGCATTTGTTTGTAACAGGCAAAAGGAAACGAGATAGACCCATAGTTCCTTTTGATGATCTGCATAGAATCACTTTCTGAGTCCGTCCGTCCGTCCGTCCGTCTGTCCATGTATTCTTGTGAACAAAATGCAGGTCGCATTTATTATACGATTTAGATGAAATTTTGCAAACAACATTTGTTTGGCCCAAGGACGAACCCTATTGAAATTGGAGATAATCGGTAAAAATTTAGATATAGCTCCCATATATATCTTCGTCCGATTTGCCTTTTATTGTGCACCAAACGTGTAATATCAGCCCGAATAGTATGGAATTTTGCACATACAACCAAATTAGGCCTGAAAATAAGTATGCCAAATGTTATCGAAATCGGTTCAGATATAGCTATAGCTCCCATATATATTGTTCATCCGATTTGTTATTTTTGTCCTCCGCAGCCTTAATATGCACTCTGTAACAACAATATTTGGGGAAATATATCAAATGCAGCTCAGAAATACCTTTGCTAAATTTTATCGAGATCGGTTCAGATTTGGATATAGCTCCCATATATAACTTCGTCCGATTTACCATTTATTGTGCACCAAACGTCTAATATTTGTCCAAATGGGATGGAATTTGGCACATACGACCGAATTTAGTCTAGAAGGTAGTATGCCAAATTTGGTGAAGATGGGTTCAGATATAGTTATAGCTCCCATATATATTGTTCATCCGATTTATTGTATTTGTTACCCACAGCCGTAATATGCACTCCGTAACAACGATATTCGGGGAAATATATCAAATACAGCTCAGAAATATCTTTGCCAAATTTTATCGAGATCGGTTCAGATTTGGATATAGTTCCGATATATATTTTTATCCGATTTCAAATTAATTTTGAACCAAATGGGCAATACAAGTCCGAATTTAAAAGATACAAATGCTTCGGCATATTTAGTCCTTTGAATTTTAAATTATAATTATAATCATAGCGTGTATGATTGAATTCTCCCATAAAAACTTTTAATTATTAAGTGGAGCTCAACTAAATTAGCAAAGTGGTGTAGGGTATCATAAAATCGGCCCAGCCCGACTTTAGGACTTTCTTTACTGGTTTTTAACTTGTTAACAGCACATTTTCTTATGAGTCTCGAACCCATAAGCTTCGGTTTTAAAGTAGGGCACCCCTAGTCTGTGCCGCCGTTACTCATTACTTGGTAATGAGAAAACGAAGTTTTTTTGCTTTGTATTCTTTTTGAAGAAAATCCCATTACTTTTAATCTACTGCCATTACCTTGTAATGGGTTATTAGACCCCTCTAATTTTATCTGGGAAGAGCAGGTCTTTCAGTTATCCCCTCAAAATTCTCCTGACGGCAATATTTCCCCCATTCAACCCTACCAAAATCACTGTGCAATATTCTTGAGAATTTGGTTAACTCTGCGGGGCGAGAGAAATGAAAAGAAGCTACGGTAATCAACACTACAAAGTCGACACATATCAAAAAGTTTGTCATCAACGCGCCATGAGCGGCAAAGCTAAAGGCAACAGCAGCAGCAGCAGCCGCGATAGTATACGATGTTTCGTTTAGAGACCGACCGGTAATCAGTGAAGTGGCCGCGATAAACAGCAGTATGCTAAACTTTTACTTTACGGAAATTTTAAATAAATAAACCAAAAGAAAAAATAAAAACAGACAGACGATAGGTAGAAAATATACTGTGTGTGTGTTTTTTTTTTTTGTTTGTTATTCATATTATTTTAATTGAAAAAATTAAATTAATGTTGTTGTTGTGTAATTGTAAACTAATTTTAATATTTCGAACCACAAACAAAATAACAATAACCAACGACTAATCTCAAATTTTTATTTATTTTTCCATATGATTTTGACATTGTTGTTTTAATTCTACCATTTGTTTGTTATTGTGTTTTGGAAATTTTTACAAAAAACAAACAAATAAACAAAAATCCCAACAAAATTTTTATTCCAAAAATAAATCATGCCATAAAACAACCATAACAATGACAATGTAACCTTGTTGTACTGGTGATCGAAATGAAAAAAAAATGCATTTATTTTGAAACGCTTTGCAAAACCCAAATTGTCAAAATTGGCAACAACAACTAAAAAGATTCTATCAAAAATACAATGAGTTGCGGGCACGCATCAAAGCCAACTCATGTCCCATAATACCGGCTACATTGCAACAACAACAACAACAGCTTCATCAGCAGCAACAGCAACAGCAGCAGGACCAGCACCAACAACAGCAACAAAATAACAATGTTAACAACAATAGCATTAACAATAATCTGAACAATAACATTAACACAAACAATATTGGCCATAACATCGGCGGCAGCAACAGCGGCAGTAGTAGTAGTGGTAGCAACTCCACCACCAACAACATCATCAGCATTGACAGCAGTTGTAACACCTCCAACACCACTACCACCTCAAACACAAAATTTACAACAACAACATCACTATTATCACCAACAACATCACATTCGCCCTCATCATTGCCCGCCTCAGCCTCAACAACAGCAACACACCAACATATAACTCCTTCCTCTGCTACTGCTATTACCGCTGCTACCTCTCCCCTGTATTCTTCCTCGAGTCCCATTTATACCGTGCAAAGATCAGCTTCACTCAAAGATCACAAACAGATATATATCAGGTTTGTTTTGTTTTTTTAGTTTTTCTCTTTCTCTCTCTCCCTTTCCCTCTCCCAATTTTGTTTATTTTGTCTGTCTTTGTGTCTGTTTCCCCCTGGGATCCTTGTATTGTCCTGTTTGTGTATATCTTTTGCGTTTTTAGTAGTAGATTTTCACACCATTTGTAGAAGTATAGCATGGAACTAAGGTAAAATGGGAAACTTGGTTTGGATTGGGTGATGGCATTGAGAGTTTTTAAAGAGTTTCTTTTGTAACATATTTTTGCCCTGTTTCTAAAAGTCAGGGCTTTTTGTATATAGTAGACTTATTATAGACATAATGGGTACAAAGAACCTTTTATAGAAGATCTATTTTATATGTCTTCTCCAAGAGAATGCCTATATTTTATGCATTGGAAAACTTCTTCTACATATAGAAGGTAGGTGCACCCTACAAGGTCTTTACATATTACACACATAAACATGGCAGACCTACAAGAGGTGTTCTTAAGCTGGAGGATCTTTAAAGAGCTTCTGATTATATATTATCCAAATAAGAGATCTGTAGATGTTTTACACATAAATGGTTCCATTATGCTAAAGTACAAACTAAACATGATGTTGAAGTCATATGTAAAGCGGATTTTTAAGCGGATATATTAACTTTGCCATTCCGTTTGTAACATCCCTAAATATTCGCATAAAATTCTAAGTTCACTTAACGATTTTTCTGTCCGTCTGTCTGTTAAAATCACGATACAGCCCACATAATTTGACGTAGAGCTTCAAAGTTTGGCAGAACAATTTGTATTGTGTCTAGTATAGGTCGAAAAATGTGGCAAAAATCATAAAACCACCGAATATCGGGAGGTACCGTTGTATGGGTGCACGTTTCCGTATAGCCATCATATAAGAGTACCTCCCGATATTCGCCAATTCGGTGATTTTTGTCACATTTTTCCACGGATTTGTCTAAAAATTGGTATTTGTAGTTCGTAATGGGTTCTAGCTCCGGTGGCGGAACATTGTATATACATATAGGTCACCGTTTTGGTATAGCCCCCATATAAAGGTACCTCCCAGTATTCGGTGTTTTGATGATTTTTGTCACATTTTTTCAGGAATTTTTCTTATAATTGGTATTTCTAGTTCCTAATGGGTTCTAGCTCCGGTGGCGAAACATTGTATGTAAAGGTCCAAGTTTTTGTATAGCCACCATATAACGGTACCTCCCGATATTCGTCATTTCGATGATTTTTGTCACATTTTTCCATGGATTTGTCTAAAAATTGGTATTTGTAGTTCATAATGGGTTCTAGGTCCACATTTTTCTGTAGCGCACTTATAACGAAGTCCACCGATGTTCGGTACTTTGTTAATCCTAGTCACATTTACCCACGAAATTGTTTTAAATTTGGTATTTAGTAGGTAGATGACAATCCTTAAAGTATAAAATTATATAAAGAGGTTTCCGTTTTGATATGGCCCCATATAAAGCCCTTACACCCTTTACGGTTTTTTCAAAAGTATAACAGCATTTTCCTATATATTTATACCCTACAACACTATGTGTTGGGGGTATTATAAGTTTGATTGAGCCAGAATTTATGTAACACCTCGAAATATTGGTTTCCCATATAGGAAAGTATATATGGATCTTCCTAGCTCGCCGAGCTGAATCGATCTAGCTATGAATGTCCGTCCGTCCGTCTGTCCATATTAATTTGTAATCACGCTACAGGTCGCAATTATGGCCCGATCCTAACGAAATTTTGCACGATAGTGGGGTTAGGGTCAGAATAGAAGCCTATTTCTTTTGGAGATGATCGCCAAATGTTTAGGGTTTGAAATGGACCAAATACTGAAAAAATGTCTGATTTTGCAGTAGCTAAACAGGTCGCAATTATAGACCAATTTCGCATGTAGCTAGAGTTTAGGGCGGGGAAGAAGCCTACCAATTTGGGTGGTCATCGGATAATATTTAGCGGGTAAAATATACCATATCTTTTGTGTTGAACAAATTCAAAATTTTTCATTAAACCGCGAATATTTTAAATTCCGGCGAAATCACAAAGCCATGACAAGGTTACTTCTGATCTTTACATTGATGTTAACATCCAACAAAACGGATATATAGCAAAATATGTGCGATATATATGTTTATCAAAGAAGATATCCTTGAAAAATCTCTTATATGTCGAGAACGGCTGAACTGATTTCGACAGTTCTCATTAATTCAGAATGGTCTCTTGGCAAGAAAGAAAAAACGTCTAAAAAATCGCATAAAAATATCTCTCTACAGATGAAAATATTGATTTTCTAACATTTTCTCATATTTTTTCAATTTTGTCATATTTTTGGCATATTTTCATTTTGAATTAAACATTTGGTAATATTTCTACAGCTAAGAAAACTAAGTAGTTAGGATATCAGGATATCATATACAGATCGCATTTATGGCCCGATCCTTACGAAATTTTGCATGGGGATAAGATGCGGGTCAGAATAGAAGCCTACTCTTTTTGGAGATGATCGCCATATATTTAGGGGTTGAAATGAACCAAAAAAACTGCAAAATTTTCAGCAGGTCGTAATTATCGCCCGATCCTTACGCACATTTGAATGGGGGTTACCGGACATTTTAAAAGCCAAGCAGTTTTGGATGGCCATCCAAAAATATTCAATGTGTGAAGGAGTTTTCCAACTTTTGTAGACAAAATACGAAAATGTCCATTCCAGTGACTTTTTGGAGAATTCACAAATACAGGAAAGACTCACTTCTGACTACTTCGTTAACGCAGATTTTGTTGAAGAATACAGTTAAATGTCTGTATCTCATATAGATGCGTTTCAGTCAAAAACCAATAATAAATGTTAATCTTTTGCCACTTCTGAAATATTGGTTCCAGATCTAGGAAGGCCATTTACGTATAACATCTACCAATAAATTGGAAATGAACAAATTAGTTTAAGTTGCTATTATTCTAAAATTAGAGAACGAAATCTGATGGTTTTCTTTTATTATTTGTCACAATATCTTGTGGAATTCTTTCGAGTATCTCGCCTATATAAACTGTATCGTTTATTATGGTGTTGTAGGGTATTCAACGGTCGGCCCCGCTCGACTGTAGCCTTTGCTTACTTGTTTTATATAAAAATGTTTTCTTTACCCAATGATGGATGATATTAAAAGTTCGTCCCGGCCGAACTTAATGTTTGTTTACTTGTTCTACAATGATCTGTGGCGTCGCTTATAAGCAACTTAGAGTCGCTTATAAAAATGTTTTTTTTTTTTTTATATCTAAAAATAAACGATTTATAGTATATAAAAAACAAGAGTATTAAAAGTTATAGTTTATGGTATAGCGTCACTTTTAAGTTTAACATATTTTCGGAGCTCCTCAAAGTATGCTATTAACATGTGAAATAGTCTCGTTACACATAACATCATGTGAAATCGGACCTTAAGTAAAATGCTTATGGTCCTTTTATATATAGGCATAACATATGGTTCCAGTCAACTTCTATTAATGGTGAAAAAATCTTAGTCTAGATTAGCTCTAGTTGTTTGTTGTGATGGTGTGATATTAAATATTTTTGAGTTCTATATTATTTTTTTTTTTATTTTATTTTGTGAAAATACATTTGTTTGTGGATTTTATCTTTTAAGCACCATATTATAATATTTCATAGAAGACTGTATTTTTCTTCATAGAAGAACCGTCAACGATCTGCAATTGTTCAGAAGATTCTATAGAAGACCTCTCAACCGAAACTTCCATTCTATGAAAGGGTAACAATGGTCTGACATTTAATGGAAGTGATCTGAAGGTCTTCTGACAAATGTATTTCCCCCCCAAAGAAGACCCCTAAAAAGTGTTGTTTTTTATAGAGAAACGGTTTTTATTTTATTTTAATCTAGTCTTGTAATTTCTATCTATTCTATTGTACTATACTCTATCTTTATCTATTCTATACTATTTTGTACTGTTGTAATCTATACTACTATGTACGTTCCTATACTATTCTATTTTATTCATATGCTATTAGTTCTAAACTATTCTATTCTATATTATTCTACTGTACTCTATTCATTCTAAACTTTTCCAAAATATTGGCTTCCATGTTGTTATATACTATTCTATTTTATGCTATTCTATATTATACTATCCTAAATTACAATATTCTAAATTATACTATTCGATTTTTTTCTACTATATTCATTCCAAACTATTCTGTACTATTCTATTCCATACTATTCTGTACCATTCTATTCCATACTACTCTATATTATACTTTACAATGCTATGTCATTCATTTCTATGCTATTTCATTTTGCTCTATTCATTCTTATCTATTCCATACTACGATTTAATGCTATTCTATTTTATTCTACTCTATTCATACTAAACTATTCTATTCAAACTACCCTATACTATTCTATTTTATGATATTCTATTCTATTTTTACTATTATATGGAAGGGGGCGTTCACTTTGTGTAACTAAATTGGGAAGACAGATTGCGTACAATTAACACCCTCTTAATGTCTTAATGGAGGGTACATTCAGTTTGTCATTCCGTAACACCTCATTTGTAACACCTCGAAATATAAATTTTAGATCCCACAAAGTATATATATTCTTGATTAGCATAAAATTCTATGTAGATTTAGCGATGTCCGTCTATCCATCTGTACGTCTGTGGAAATCACTCTAGTATATATTATTACTCAAATATATATTATGTCTGCAGGACTTTTGGTATTGAAAATGGGCCATATAGGTCCACGTTTTGGTACATCCCTATTTTGGTGATTTAAGCGACATTATTCACCGGAAATGTTTCATATTTGGTATTTGAAGTTCGTAATGGATACTACAGCCTATGACCGAAAATTGTCCTTGCAGGTCCGCGCCTTCGTATAGCCCCCATATAAGGGTGTCCCCCAATATTGGGTATTTTGATAATTTCAGCGACATTATTCACCGGAATTGTTTGAAATTTGGTATTTAGCGTTCGTAATGGGAACTACAGGCTATTCCAGAAAATTGTCTTTGCAGGTCCAGGTCTTCGTATAGGCTCCATATATTAGTACCTCTCTGTATTCGGTATTTTGACGATTTTACGTACAATATTAACCGTAATTGTTTGAAATTTCGTATTTTAAGTTCCTAATAGGTACCACAGCCTGTGATAGAAGATTGTCTATGCAGGTCCAGGTCTTCGTATAGCCGCCATATAACGGTACCTTCCGATATTCGGTATTTTGATGATTTTATCTACATTATTCACCGGAATTGTTTCAAATTTGGTATTTGAAGTTCGTAATGGATACTACAGCCTAAGACAGAAAATTGTATTTGCAGGTCCATGTCTTCGTATAGCCCCCTCATATAACGGTACCTCCCTATATTCGGTATTTTGATGATTTTTTCTACATTATTCACCAATTTTTTTTATTCAAGTTTCGCATTTGAATATTGTAATGGCTTATGACAAAAGTTGCCTACGCAGGTTCACGTCATCGTATAGACTATTCTACAATGGCTACATTCGGTATTTTTAAGATTTTAACTGAATTTTTAACGGATTTTATTCTTTTGAAAATTGCCAAATTCGTTCCAAATGGTGGAGGGTAGTAACAGTTCGACCCGGCCGAACTTACATCTTCTTTATTTGTTTTCCAACGACTTGTTCCATATCCGTTTATTGTGTACAGGTGTTTTGAAAGTCCTGGCCACATTTTCTGCCAAAGTGGCTTTGATTTGATAATATTCAAAACTCTTAATGAGTGAAGCACATTATTACAAAAATTATTAAATATAGGTTCTGGTTTCGATATAGCCTCCATTGCCTCCAACGGTAGCCCCACACATAATTGGTACTTAAAATGTCTCTTTTTTCAGTTTTCAAAAATTAATGAGCTTTATTATACCCTCAGCCATATGGCTACAGAGGGTATATATCATTTGATACGACCAAAACGTGCCTAGTCGAAATAACGGTTTTAGACCCTAGGTATCTTTGGACCAAATCCGTTTCAGAACATTTGGAGTCGATCTAGCGATGTCCGTCCGTCCGTCCGTCCGTCCGTCTGTCTGTCTGTCTGTCTGTCTGTCTGTCTGTCTGGCTGGTGCGCACAATAACTCTCGAAGGGAGTATCCGATTTGGTCCAAATTGGCTACAACGTAATATTTTTGTCAAACTTAGGTCGAGTTCGGAGATGGGCAATATCGGTCCACTCCTTCTGGTACCGCCCCCACAAAAGGTCGAAATTTTCAAAAAATATATTTTTTGCACAGGAAGAGAAAGGATAATCCGAATTTGCTCCAACTTTGCAAATCCTAATATTTGCGTCAGTGCTAGGGCAGGTGTGGAAATGGACAATATCGGTCCACTCCATCAAGTACCTCCCCCACAAATGGTCAAAATTTTGAATGATTACAACTCTCATAAAATGTTATGTAAGAGTCCGACTGTCTTCAAATTTCACACATCCCAATATTTATATTAACCCAAGGTCTTGTGTTAAGATGAACAATATCGGCCCACTCCTTCTGGTACATCCCCCACAAAAGGTCAAAATTTTCAAAAAAAAAAAAAATTTTTTTTGCACAGAAAGAGAAAGGCTAATCCGAATTTGCTCCGACTTTGCGAATCCTAATATTTGCGTCAGTGCTAGGACAGGTGTGAAAATGGACAATATCGGTCCACTCCATCAAGTACCTCCCCCACAAAATATTGAAATTTTGAGTACCCATGAAGCTCATAAATCGCTAAATTAACCACCGATTCCATTTAGACTTGGCACATCTGTCGAAATATTTATATCATATTTTGGGTCCGATAGGAAATGGGCAATATTGGCCCATTCCTTCGGGATCTGCTCCATAGAGGGTCAAACGTTTGAATAACCTTAACACTAGTCAAAATATATTTAGATAATCGAACATAGGCTGAGGGTATATCTCTGGCGGCAATACCGACTGATACTTTTTAACTTGTTTTCCAAATAAATCTGTAAAAAATTAGATAGATTATATCCTATCTATATAGGGTGTAGTTCGTCATATTATCAATCGCGCCCAACTTTGGTTTGTTTCTCACTGTCCTAGTAATCTTGTTGTATGTATCATTGGTGTTGGTATAGATAGTTTTTTATACTCAATATTACATAGATTCAAATTCATTGTCTCATCACAGTACTCTATTTGCTTTTTACTTGAATACACTAACTAACCTTTTTATTTGTAACTAACATTACTAAAACAAAACAACAAATTTTTGTAAATAAAAATATATAGTGCTGTTAGCTGTTATAGTTGTAAATGTGTATAGTAAATAAAATTAATTTTTTGTTCAAAATCTAATAACAAATTCATATTTTCTTTGTTTTTACTCTAGGAAATCACCACCAGTTAGTCCTGCGGTATCCACAACTCCCGCTTATACCACCAACACCACAAATACAACAGCATCGCCGGCTGCTGTGGCCACGCCCATCAGGAGGTATGTACAAAGCAAAACTATGGTGGCCAACTAGAATTAATTGAAATATTCCCACTTTTGGTTTATTGGTCTACCGAAGTTCTCAATCTGCACTTGTTTTTTTTTTTCTTTTTATTTGATAAATTATTTTTTATAATTATTTTTCTTTATATATATATTAAATTGAAGCACCTCCTGTTTTATTACATTTTTAGTACTACACAAACCCAACCAACGAAAGTGGTTCAAAATTCCTCACAAACTAAGGATAAGAATACAATTCAAAGCACAACCACCACTACCAATAATAATAACAAAAACAATAATATGAATAATAACAACAATAAATCATCTCCTGACTCCAACAACAAAGCAAATCAAAATAACACCGCCACCACAACAACCACTACCAATAACAATGGTTCCACTGCTGAAGCAGTTAAACCCAAACAATCGACTGGAAATATGATTAAGAATTTCTTCAAGTAATTAAAGGGGAAAGCCCCCACCCACCCCGCTCTGTTGTTCTTCTAATGCTGTTGTTATCTAATGAAAATAACCATTGTTGTTTTTTTGTTTTCCAAAAATATTCTTTGTTGTTGTCTGTTTGGCCCTAACCTAAAAGCTATATTTAACAATAACGTCCTCCCGAACATTTGCAAATAATGTACCCCAAATTTAACCCAAGCCGCCAACTGAGCTATAACATCCTCTGCTTTTTTTTATCAAACGTGTTAAAATTTTACTATTTTCGAGGATAAAACGTGTCCGAATTATTTGTGTTCTAACATATGTTTCCAACTTTTTCTTCAGTAAGATATGGAGTGATTTTTTTTATAGAAGAGAACCTCTAAAGGTCGGTAGAAAAACTCTTGGAGGTTATCATTGACAAAATCGATTAAAAAAATGTTATACGATTTTTTTACATGTCCTTATAAAGATCCTTCAAAAGGCCTCTGCAGGCAGATCTGTATTCTATAGAAAATTTGTAGAAACAGAATTTCATCTTAAAAATTCTTACATCATAAAACCTGGAGATCTTCCACCCGCAAGTTCAAGAAGTCTTATATCTGATACAGAAGTTCCGGAGGTCTTTTATCTGCTAAAGAAAGAAGGACCGATAGACGACCAATAAATGACTGGAAGATTTCCGACCAATAAATGACTGGAAGATTTCTACTAGAAGGCCTGGAACTTTCCTGTCGGCTTTAGACGACCTGAAAGTCTGGAAGATTGGCTATAGATGACCTGAATGTCTTATACCACCAACACAACAAATTGGTTATAGAGGGCTTGAAGATCTTATATTGGTATAGATGAACTGAAAGTATTCTATTGACTGTTGAGGAACTGAAGTTCTTTTATTGCCTAAAGGGGACTCGAAGGTTTTCTATTAGCTATAGAGAATCTTCTATCGGCCACGGATGACCTGAAGGTCGCCTTTCGGCAATATAAAACATGAAGGTCGTCTGTCGGCTACAGAAGACCTGAAGGTCGCCTATGGGCAATAGAAAACATGCAGGTCGTCTGTCGGCCATAGAAGACCCAAAGGATCTGGACCTAAAGGTCTTTTATCGGCTATAGGAGACCAAGAGGTCTTCTTTCGGGTGTAAGAAACCTAGAGATCTTCTATCGGCTATAGAAGAGATGGAGCTCTTCTATCGGCCATTTAAACCTCAAAGGTCTGTTATTGGCTATATGAGACAAGAAAGTCTTCTATATCTGTATTGAATTTGGAGATCTTCTATTGCCTATAGAGGACCTGGAGATCTTCTATTGACCTGGAGGTCTTCTATTGGCAATGGAGGACCTGAAGGTATTATGTTGTCAATTGAGGACCTGAAGGTCTTCTATTGGCTGTAGAGGACCTCAAAGTCTTCTATTGTCCGTAGAGTACCTCAAAGTCTTCTATTGTCCGTAGAGGACCTGAAGGGCTTCTATTGGCTATAGAGGACCTGAAGGTCTTCTATTGGCTGTAGAGGACTTCAAAGTCTTCTATTGTCCGTAGAGAACCTGAAGGTCTTCTATTGACTATAGAAGACCTTCAGGTCTATAGAGGATCTGAAGGTATTCTGTTGTCGATAGAGGACGTGAAAGTCTTCTATTGTCTACAGAGGACCTCAAGGTCTTCTATTGTCTATTGAGGACCTGAAGGTCTCCTATTATCTGCAGAGGATCTGAAGGTCTTCTATTGTCTATAGAGGACCTGAAGGTCTTCTATTGTCTATAGAGGACCTGAAGGTCTTCTATTGTCTATAGAGGACCTCAAAGTCTTCTATTGTCCGTAGAGGACCTGAAGGTCTTCTATTGGCTATAGAGGACCTGAAGGTCTTCTATTTGCTATAGGGGACCTGAAGGTCTTCTATTTGTTATGGATGTATGGAGGTCTTCTATTGGCTAAAGGGGACGTGGAGGCCTTTTTTCGGGTATATGAGACATGGAAGTCTTCTTTTGGCTATAGAGGATTTGAAGGTCTTCTGTGGTTAATAGAGGCCCGGAAGTCTTGTAGAATTTATTTTGCTGTTGAAGCCCCTTTGAAACTCTGCTGATTTAAGATGATAATATGAGGGTTATCATAACGCTGCAGAAAATATTAAGGTCTCCCAGCAATGGCGAGATTTTCTGAATACCTGTAAAAGGTTTTTAAGTCATAGAGGGGCTCCGAAAGGACTTCTGCTATACAAAGACTATATAAGATCTTTTGAAAAAGCACTCCAGTCTTTAAAAGACATTTCAAAAGTTCTTATGGACTTCTAAGTATAGAGGATCTTTGGAAGATTCGAAGTTCTACTTATAACGGCTTTATTCCGCTTTCAGTCCAAAAATTACACTGCTATAACCCACCGGCGTTGTATTTAATTTTCTTGTTATTTGATTTTTGAATAAAGACTTGCATGTTTTTTTTTCATTCACTTCAAGTGTGACGTGACTAATTTTGTCCTTTTAAAACATATTCGAATTATACTAATATATTTTTTTCATTTATTTATTGAACTCCCCTCAGGTCCTTTGTGCCACCAGTGCGTGACGAGGAAAGTGAGACACAACGTAAGGCTCATGCCAAGCGGGTGCGTGAGACAAGACGTTCAACCCAGGGTGTGACCTTGGATGAAATCAAGAGTGCTGAAGAATTGGTGAAAAAGAAGAACTCCAGTATGAATAACAATAACAACAATAACAGCAGCAGTGTAAGTCCCTCTAATAAATGTTCAAATATCGTTTATTGTATATATACATATATATTTATCACACATTGACATTAATTCCGAAAAAAAACTAAAATTGAAAACATTGCATTCATTCATTCGAAATACCACCAAATCATCCAACTCGAATCAGTGTCCTTTCACCATTGTTTGTAATTGGAAGCAAACCCGAACTCACTCTTTCCTGAGATTTGTTTCAAAATTGTCCCTTGTCCCCACGTGTCGTACCCCATTCCACCATCCAACACACACATAATTATTTTTTAACAAAATAAGCAAACTAATGTGGATTGCACTTTGAATTTAAAATAACTCACCATTAAATCGGTCATTCCAAACATATCCTCCATTTACCCCTCATTTCGAACATAGATTCGAAAAAACACAAAAAAATCATTCATATTCACAATGCTTTTGGAAGCGGTATAATTATTTCCTAAAGAAAAGAGTTATTGTTGAATTAAATAATCTTTGTTTTTATTTAATTTATTTTGTATTTATAAATTTATAATTTTTAAGACACCCACAATTCCCCTATAAATAGAATTCACACCCCCCTTCTTCCTTAGTTGGTAGAATGAATGAATGGTTATGGGGTTTTGTAACACCCACCTGTTTTCCTTAATACGTTACAAGGTTCTTTTTATAAATATACAGAGATCACAACAACACGTGTAAACAAATCCACCACCAAAACAAATATTCACCTTCACCACCACCATTACCATTAATAGGTATTACAAATAATATCCACCCCATCCTCTAGAAATGGTTTTGGTTATGCTGTGATGGTTATATTATTTTGAAATCCTATCAAGTTCCATCTAGTTCCACCATGACCACCACTCATACTCAGCCTTTATTTGCAGTTTGCTGTCGTTAAGAAAACCGGAAATATCTTCGATGAAATTAATTTGCGGATAGATGTTTATCAGTTGACAAGATAAAGTAGAATCGAGTTTTCGAGATATTGGTTTAAAGGTCATTTTGTATACAGTTTTGCAAGATCTTCTAGAAGGCCTTTGGAAGGTCTTCTGGAAGGCCTTCGATTAGTTTTAGCTGACCTGAAGGCCTTATTTTGCATATAGAGGTCTTTTTTTAAGCCATCTTTAGGCTATAGAGTAGCCGAAGATCTTCTATTGGCTTTTAAGGAGCTGAAGGTCTTCTATTGGCTATTGAGAAGCTGAAGGTCTTCTATTGGCTATAGGGGATATGAGGTCTTCTATTGGCTATAGAGGACGTGAAGGTCTTCTATTGACAATAGAAGACCTAAAAGTCTTCTATTGGACATAGAGGACTTGAAGATCTATCGAACATCGTATATCGGATATAGAAAACCTGAACGTCGTCTATCGGCTATAGAAGACCTGAAAGTCTTCTATTTGCTGTAGAGGAACTGAAGGTGTTATATTGGCTATGGGGAAGACGAAGGTATTCTCTTGAATATATAGGATCTAAAGGTCTTCCATTGGCTATAGAGGAAGATCTTCTATAGGGTACTGAGGGCCTGAAGATCTTCTATTGGGTACGGAGGCTATTGATGACCTGAAGGTCTTCTATTGGCTATTGAGAACCTGAAGGTCTTTTACTGGCTACTGAGACCCTGAAGGTCTTCTATTGGCTATTGAGGATGTGAAGGTCTTCTATAGGCCATAGAGGACCTGAAGGTCTTCTATAGCCCATAGAGGACCTGAAGGTCTTCTATAGGCCATAGATGACCTGAAGGTCTTCTATAGGCCATAGATGACCTGAAGGTCTTCTATAGGCCATAGATGACCTGAAGGTCTTCTATAGGCCATAGAGGACCTGAAGGTCTTCTATAGGTCATAGAGGGCCTGAATGTCTTCTATAGGTCATAGAGGACCTGAAGGTCTTCTATAGGTCATAGAAGACCTGAAGGTCTTCTATAGGTCATAGAGGACCTGAAGGTCTTCTATAGGTCATAGAGGACCTGAAGGTCTTCTATAGGTCATAGAAGAACATATAAGGTCTCCTATTTGCCATAGAAGAACATAGAAGTTCTCCTATTAGCCATAGAGGACCTGAAGGTCGTCTGTTGGCTATAGAGAATCTGAAGGACCTGACTGTTCTCTTTTGGCTATAGAGGACATCAGGGTCTTCTGTTGGCTCTAGAAGACCTGAAGGTCGTCTATCGGCTATAGAAGGTCTGAAGTTCGTCTATCTGCTATAGAAGATCTTCAGGTCGTCTGCCGTCTATAGAAGATCTTTAGCTCGCCCATCGTCTATAGAAGACCTTTAGGTCGTCCATCGTCTATAGAAGACGTTCAGGTCTACTATCGTCTATAGAAATGATAGACTTATAGAAGACCGGGAGGTTGTCTATCGGCTATAGAAGACCGTAGAGGTCGTATATGGGATATAAAATACTTATAATATTTAGATATCTTCTATAATACCTTTAGAAGTTCTTCTATAAGACCCTTCAAAAGTCTTCTTAAATCCATTGTACAAGACCTTTACAAGGTCTTCTATAAGACCTTTAGAAGTCTTAATCTTCTGTAAGTCCTTTGGAAGGTCTTTTTTTATCCCTTCGAAAAATTTTTCATTTTAGACCTTTCAAATGTCATTTTTCAGATTTCAAAAAGTCTTCTATTAGAAATTTAAGGAACCCATATCTCGTAAACTTTTAAGCTATAAGTTTCATAGCAAATTAATTTACTACTTCTTCGAAGATATTCACGGTTTCCTTTCCGCCACAATAACCTTATTAAAAATTAGGGACCGACCCCCTCCCCCCACCATCATCTACATATTATTCAAAAGATCGATCGAAAACCGAAAAAAAAAAAAATAGTTGTATATGAAATCTTCATACCAACAACAAGAATGATTTCAAATTTCATTGCTGCCTGTAAAATAAGCGCAAGTGATTGGCCTGAAAATGCTCCACGTCGCGCGTTTCTTTTTGTTATTGTTGTTTTATTTTCTTCTTATAATTTCATTATTTTCCAAACAAATACCAACAATAGATTGTGCTCCTCTCTTTGCGCTCCTCCTATTGTCTATCTTTCAACGTCGCTTTTTATAAAGCTCTAGCTACCTGAACGACATCTAGTGTTGGTATTGATTGAAATTATTTTCATTTTTCAACTTCTAATAGAAAAGTTGGAAATTCTTAGAGTAGGTCTTTACCATTAAGTCTTTGATTACTTTTTTTAGGATTATTGATTGAATTTCTATTTTTTTATTTTTTTAGATTAGATTGTGTATTTCTTTCGAAGTATTGTCGTATCTTTATATTTCGATGCATGATTTATTGTTATTGTATAATTATTGTTATTATTTTTACTATTATTATTATTATTTAGTATCGATATTACTGTATTTAGTCATGTTTTATTGTTGTGCATGATTGTTATAGTGTATCTTCCGTCTATTTATTTTTTTTTTTTAATTGTGACTTCATACTATTTACCTTTACAATGTTTTGTCGAGTTTTGTACGTACGTTAATATCATGAGCAAATTATTATTAAATTTAATGCCAATGGTAAACTATTGAACAAATTTTAGGAAAATCTGTTTGAAAACATTAGAAGATTACCAAATTTGATCCAATATTCTGTAAATGAAAAAATTATTTTCACTCAAACCTCAAAACTTTAAAATATATTCCAATAATCTAGAAATAGTGGTAAAAACGTCTTAAAATATGTAGTAGTCCACCGACCTCTATATGTGATTTTTTGAGTGAATCAAAAAAGTGACCGCATGATGTCAGATTGCATCATTATTGGATGTTGAAACAACCAATATTTTTGAATGGTTTCAAATCCAGAACTATGTCGAACTAATTGATCAGTGTATTAGATTTTAAAAATAACAATAGCTTTAAAAGGTCTTCTGAAAACTTCTTTTTTTTTTTTTTGGTTTTTACTTAAACAATTTACAAAAGCAGTAAGTTCGGCCGGGCCGAACTTTGAATACCTTCCACCATTTGGAAGGAATTTAGAAATTTCAAAAAATAAAATCCTTAAAAAATTCTGTTACAATTTTAAAAATACCGAATATAGCCGTTATATTAGGGTCTATACGACGTGGACCTACATAGGCATTGTTTTTCATAAGCCATTACCATAGTCAAATTCGAAATTTGAAATAAACGGTGAATAGCGTAGCTAAAATCATCAAAATATCGTATATAGGGAGGTACCGTCATATCGGAGCTGTGCGAAGACCTGGACCAGCATAGACAATTTTCTGTCACAGGCTATAGGATCCATTACGAACGTCAAATACGACATTTCAAACAATTTCGGTGGGTATTGTAAGTAAACTCGTCGAAATACCGAATATAGGGAGGTACTGATATATGGGGCCTATACGAAGACCTGGACCTGCGTAGACAATTTTCTGTCACAGACTATAGTTCCCATTACGAACTCTAAATACCTAATTTGAAACAATTCCGGTGAATAATGACGCTAAAATCATCAAAATACCGAATATCGGAAGGTACCGTTATATGGGGGCTATACGAAGACGTGGGCCTGCACAGACAATTTTCTGTCATAGGCTGTAGTATCCATTACGAACTTCAAATACGACATTTCAAACAATTTTGGTGGGTGTTGTACCTAAACTCGTCAAAATACCGAATATAGGGAGGTACTGATATATGGGGCCTATTAGTTCCCATTACGAACTCTAAATACCTAATTTGAAACAATTCCGGTGAATAATGACGCTAAAATCATCAAAGTACCGAATATCGGAAGGTACCGTTATATGGGGGCTATACGAAGACGTGGACCTGCACAGACAATTTTCTGTCTTAGGCTGTAGTATCCATTTCGAACTTCAAATACCAAATTTGAAAAAAATTCCGGTGAATAATGTCGCTAAAATCATCAATATACCAAATATCGGGAGGTACCGTTATATGGGGGCTATATGAAAACGTGGAACTACATGCAAAATTTTACCCTTCTATCTCAATTCGTTCAGACAGACAGACGGACATCGCTAAATCGACTTAGAATTTTACGCTGATCAAGAATATATATATACTTTGTTGGGTCTGACATGAGTATTTCGTGGAGTTACAAACGGAATGACAAGGTTAATATACCCTCGATAGTATGGTGGAGGGTATAAAAATTTAAATCGATTTCGTAGCAATTACATTTGTACCATAGAGTAAAGATAAACTGATTTGGCAACTTGAAGAGCTAGAAGGTAGTTGGCACATTACCTTGCTCGCCTTGTTGTCAATCTTTTTCTAGTGAAGGGATTGGGCGCTCCTTATAGTAATTCAAGGAGTATGGACATTCCTTGCGACTTTCATTAAGTTTTCAAAAACCATGCCATCGCAGCGTTGATATCTTATTACTTCGTCTAAACTTTTATAATATTTCAGCAAATACATTTTATTTTTTTTTTTTTTCATATATCTCGTCGATATAATGGCTTTGAACTGAGTCAAAGATGGCGTCCTTTCATATCAGGTTTTTTAAGGGAAGTTCCGTATTTCTTTCTGTGTCTATTCCTTCTCCATGTATTATCCATCAATACTTTTGCAGCTTAAGTGTTTAGACATTAAAATTATTTGGAATATAAATTTTCAGAACGTAAAATATTTAAAAATAAAGTATAACAAGTAAAAACATTAGGTTCGGCCGGACCGAACTTTTAACATCCCCCCGCCTTTGGATAAAGAAAATATTTTTATATAAAAGTATCTGAATTCAAGCGTTTTCCACTTTAAACTTCATATACCAACATGATAGTTTGAATAAACTTATAAAAAAACGATAAAGTGAGTGGGGCCGTCATATGGGGGCCATACCAAAACGGGAACCTCTATAGACAATTTTATACTTCAAGGATAGTCATCTACCAAGTCTTCTTAAATACCCAATTTAAAACAATTTCGTGGGTAAATGTGACTAGGATTATCAAAATACCGAATATCGGTGGGTATCGTTATATGTGCGCTATAGGAAATAATCTGCCACAGGAGTTAGAACTCATAATGACCTACAAATACCAATTTGTAGGCAAATCCGTGGAAAATGTGACAAAAATTATCAAAATACCAAATATGGGGAGGTACCGTTTTTTTGGGGCCATACGAAAACGTGGACCTACATATACGATGTTTTGGCACCGGACCTAGAACCCATTATGATTTACAAATACCAACATTTAGACAAATCCGTGGAAAAATATGAGTAAAACCGTCAAAATACTCAATATCGGGAGGAACCGTTATATGGAGGCTATGTGGACCTATATAACCAATATCTGTCACTGGAGCTAGAACCCATTTTGACCTACAAATAGCAATTTTTGGAAAAATTGCTAGAAAAATATGGCTAAAATCATTAAAATATCGGGAGCTACCATTATATGGGGACTATCTCAAAACGTGGACCGATATATCTCATTTTCAATAGCAACCATCCTAAACACAATAAAAAATACTGTGCTAAAGTTAAAAACCCTACGTCAAATAATGTGGGCTGTATCGTGAGTTCAATAATCAGACGAACTAAAAACATCAAAATACCGAATATAGGGAGGTACTATACTAAAACGTGGACCTGCACGGACAATTTTCTGTCATAGGCTGTAGTATCCAAACTTCAAATACCAAATATAAAACATTTCCGTGAATAATGTCGTTAAAATCAAAATACCGAAAATTGGAAGATAGCATTATATGAGGGCTATACTAAAACGTGGACCTACATGGCCCATTTTCAGTACTAAAAGTCCTGCAGACATAATATTCAATACGATTTTGGGGGGTATAAAAATAGTGGAGGTATAGATGGCGCCCTATACATCGAAGGGTCCGATTTCGGAAACTTTGCAAATTCGATGTCTTTTGATTTGACGATTGTTGAGAATATAGAGGTTTAAAGCCAAATTATTGCTTCCAATTCGATAACTGAAAAGACTGAAGTTTATTTAATTTTATAGAGACCTTCAGCAAAAAAAAATCGATTTTCTGCTTTTGGCATTAGAACCAAATTGCATGTTTATGGTTGCATTATATGTAAAAATTTGAAACAATAATATCCGAGTGCGCCTTTTGCCAGTCAGGTTTGGAGTCTCGTTAGAAATGAAGGATAATGTATACTTTGAGCTATAGATGGAGCAAAAATACCACACAAATCACACATATAGCAATAAAAAGTGGGTGTCCGGTTTTGAATTTTGTTCGTAATAAAGCAACCCATATGAATTGACATGTAGATGGCGCCCCAACCTAAAGTCAATTTAATAAAATTTTCTTATCTCAGGTAACTCTAACTATAAAAACTAAGATTTAGTCGAAATTATACATGTTTAGAAATATTCAAAGTATTCGGGAATTAGAAAAAAAACAATTGTGGTATATCTCCAACTGTCTGTAGATTTGGGAATGTTGTATAAAAAATGTATAGATGACGTCCAACACTACAAAAATTTCAATGGCAGAAAACAAACTTAGTTAACACATCGAATAATTTAGAAATACCACTGAATACATAAACAGGTGGCGCCCAATAGCACATAAGCTTCAGCTTCAGCCTTTATTTTTTCCAGAGCAACAATAATCTGAATTGAGAACAAATGTTCGAAACCAGATGGCTGTTTGAATAGAAGATGTGCTAGCTCATCCAAGTATACAAATGTCTATGAAAAACCGCGGAGCGTAATATTATACTGAAATATATATGGCGTTTTTGCTATATAACATAGGTTCTCTCCATTTTAGCATAAACAATTTTATTTTAAAGTTTTTTTAGACCAAAATTTTTTATTCAGCGACACTACTTTACTAGCCATCTTTATGTCATTTTTGATTTTTTTATCACCTAAAACTATGCATATATGAAGAAACAAACCCGCCCGCCGCAACACACCGTAATATAGATGGCGTTTGCATATTATCCATCGCAAGTTTAACAATTATTTGTTAGGGCAACTAAAAGTGACATCTACATATAAAAAAATTAAGCTTCCAGGGTAGGCATTTTTAGTTGGCTCGACAAAACATTGTAAGGTAAATTTCAAATATATTCAGATGACCAAATTCAAAAAAAAAAGAGAACTGCCAATAAATCCCATAGGCAGAACTTCGAACCCCCATTTCAATGCTTCATTGTTACACGTTTTAGATGATTTTCTAGTTCCAACTTCTTTTCAAAAAGAGGACTAGAAAGTTATTTTTTTTTTTTAATTTCCACAACAATGATTTTTCTTTATGTTATCACAACTACAAAACCAACAACAAAATAAAACACCAATTAAATAAAACAACTAAATTAACAGAATGAATTGCAAGGGAATGTTGGAAAAACCAACGAAGCAACCACAACAACAATGACGACGGTAATGACAAATACGCCTGTCGTAACAGCAACAATTCCAGCAGCAACAACAACATCTACACACGATTCCAAGCCAAGTGTTGAGCCAACAAAGGATAACAAGCCTCAAACTGTTGACGATGATGAAGATGTGACAACAGCCTCGTTTACAATTAAAGCTCCCTCAGCTGGCAATCGTTCGAGGCCCTCATCGTTAATTGTGACCGCCAAGACTTCAACAACAGCAGCCAATGAGGTGGATCAATTGCTGGAGAATATTACGGCAAATGCAGCGGATGCAGAAGAGGAAGTAAGTGCCACCTTTGTAATGCCGCCAAGAAAAGATTCTCGTACCCCCACACCGACCTCAAGAAGTCAGGCGTCCATGGAAGCGGAGGAGGTTGAAACTACCATAGTGATAGCTTCACCACGCAGAAATGTGGTAGAGAAAGCCATAACCGATGATGAAAAGGATAAACAGAGAGAAGAACAGCAGGAGGCGGCTAGCGTTGGAGATGGACCCAATAAGATTGCGGAGGATACCACAAATGAAAGTGATAAGGAAGAAGAGGAAGCGGGAACGGCTGAAGAAGATGAGGAGGAGGATGAGGATGAAAAGGAGGAAGACGAAGTGGAAGAAACAGAAAGTAGTGATAACACGGAAAATACCACAGCCGATGACAGTGGCGGTAACAATGAAATCGAAGACGGCACTGCAGCGCATAAAAAGACTGAACCTCCTCCCTCATTGCAGGGTAATAAACCTGCCGTTAGCCCACAACCCATAAGGGTGCAATCTCCTCCCAGCAGTCAGAGAGCCCAGTCAAGTGAACGCATACGAGCTGCCTTCTTTAGTCCCCTACCCCTGACTAGTGTCCCCACGGCAGCAACCACCACCACGACCACGATTACCACACCCACATTGGAGAGCCCTGTACGCTTGCGGGACAAGCGTTCCATATTCGATATGGATAATGCCAACTCACAGACCCTGGCCGATAGATTACGGCTCGAGGCAAATCGTTATGGGTTTGATGAGAAACGTGGCTTTTATAGTGATACTGGCAGTTCGCTACCGCCACCACAAATGTCACATGAAAATAGCTCCGAACGTGACAGTAGCATGTCACCATTGTTTGGTAATTTGGGTCATAGTTCCAATGCAGGCGGCACAGCCCCAACCGGTAGTGGCTACAGCTACAATAGCCGTCGTAGTTTAGATTCTTCCTCCTCAGCTTCTCTGCCCAACTCCCCATTCCATACGAGGGATCGGGAAACTGGGGGTAGTGAAAATCATGCCCACAATGCGGGCTCAACAACTTCGGGTACAAATGCTGATCGTAGACCTTCGTGGCGTTTGAAATTTGATGCTGGTTCTAAGGTATGCATAAGGATAACACACACACACATAAAATAAATACCAACACTTACACAAAACCTTAAAAAGACACCCATCCCAATCCTCCCAAAAAACAAACCAAAATTAGTAAAAATCTTTGCCTTAACAAAACCAACGAAAAAAATGTTTAAATAAAAACGTTTTTTTTAATAATTTTATATCAATGTTAGTGTGTGCGTATGCGTATAAATGTTGTCTTCTTTTTAGTTTTAAAAGTAAAAATTTACATTTATTTTTAATTACACTATGCAACAAATTTTGTTCCCAGTGCTAGGTGAATGGTATCATCTGGTGTGGAATTGGGTAGCTTTAACAATTAAATGGTCTTCTATTTAAAACTTAATTTGGTCCCGGTGGTTTCTACTCTACTAGAGAAGAAGGCGATCTGGTCTTCTTCTCTTCTAGAGAAGAAGAAGTAGACCCGTTTGTCTAGAGAAGAAGAAGATGACCCGTTGGTCTTCTTCTCTTCTAAGGAAGAAGACCCGGTGGTCATCTTTTAGAGAAGAGGCGCCGAATTACACATTATTGATTATGGCGCCCAATTACACACCGGTAAAACTACCACTCATAATTCTTCGTTCGCCTACTTTTTTATTTTCAATTTGTTGCATAGTGTAATTGAATATTTCGATTTTGTAGGTTGTTTTCTTTTTGCTCTTAATTCGTTTTTTCCGGCAGGCCTTTGTAAAGCAGCCAAGCTTACCATTAGCCTCAATTGTGTTTTTTTTTTCTTAATCACCGACGCCCACGGCACTTACATTCTATTCGAAACAAATTCTTTACATTTACATGTCTATTTAATACCGTTTTATTTATAATTTTCTGTTTCCAATCTGTTTCCTCAACTATTACTAACCTGCCACCTGTTTCTTTTTCAACGTTTTATGTACTGTCTGTCTGCTATTGCTCCTTATAGCTGCTGCTTTCTTTGTTCTAATTTTTTATGTCTGTTGTAAACGCAGATCATTTGCCATTCAAATCTCACTATCTCATCTTAATGTTGCATTATTTCAATAGTTTAAGGAAATTTGAAAAAAGAAACTGATATATTTTAGTTTGTAGATTTTTTTATTATTTTAGTAGTAATTTATTAGAATTTATTTTGAACAATGGTAATCTCTTTGATTTTTAATTTCCTTTTTTAATTTGAAAAATATTAGTTCATTAGAGCTTTTGATATCTTATGGAGCTTTTATTCTTTTAAAGTCACTAAAATTGTTATTTTTGGCCTTTTGTTCTAAGCAACATTTTTTTTAATTGTTATATTGAAACAGATATTTTGCCAAAATATGTGCCAAGGAAGTGGTAGGGTATAATTGAATAATTGAGAAAGAGATAAGGAAAATGCTTTAAGTCCGGCATTGATTTTTATTAGAAAACAAATGTTAATTTTTTTGTGGACTCGGCTCCTTCCGAATTAACTACTATTCTCAATTTGTGTACCAGTTGGCCCCCTAAAATGATTTCGAAATGCATTTCAGTGTACGATACTGAACCATATACTCCATATTGTAGAAAGACTAATGACTTTCTATAGAAGACAAAAGACCCACGGTGGAAAATCGTCTTCTATAAAGACTTAATATTTTTTTCGATTGAATACCAAAATAATTTTTCATCGATATTTTTTAATTTAAAAAAAAAATTCTTTCAATAAAATACCCACCAAAATGTCCTTCGGCAGAAGTCAAAGTGGTATTTTAATTCATCTTCAATGTCGTACTTTGTTTCGACTGTAAATCAAATATTCTTCATCTTCCACTATAAAATTTATTCTTATACAGAAAAATAAAATGTTTTCTTCAAAGAAAGTTGAGAAAACAGTTTTTATTGATAAAATGCCAAAACGTTTTGGTTTTCGATAGAAAAAATCGAGGTGTTCTTCAAATAATTAGCAGAACACTTTCTTCTTTGATAGAGTAAGAAAATCCCAAATTGTTCCTCGTTCCCGCAAAAATTATTATTATTATTATTATATTTTTTTTTTTTTTTGATGGAACATCTTTCCTCTACAGCAGGGAACTGTAAAGTCGAAAAATATTAGAGACATCTTTTTTGACAGACTATCACAAGGGTTTATTTTCGTCTTTTCCAAATTTGTATCAGATATAAGATGAGGCAAGATGTAAGATCGTCTGATGAGGAGACACGAAAGAATTACAAAATGTTTCATTGTATATCGATTTTTCGAAGAATAGGGGCCTGAAAATGACCAAAAAATAGTTTGTATGCCATAGAAAAGCAAAAGTCTACGGCAGAAGACTGAAATGCTTCCTTCGACAGAAGATGAAAACAAATGATTTCTTTGAGAAAAAAAGAAAATTAAAACGATTTACAATTTGATTGAATAGCCGTTAGACGTTAAGCCTCATCTACATAGACAACCTCAAAGTCTTTCAATATGTGAGAGGTACGAGATAAGACAAGAAGCCATTTTCATTGAAAGAATTAAAAAGTTTTTCTTTGGATAACGATTTTTTTTGAAAATATGATCCCATGTCCAAAAAATGGTTTGTATGTCATAGAAAAGACTACAACAGAGAATTCTAATGTATCCTATCCAAAATAATGTTTTCCAGGCAAAAAAAAAATCGTAAAGATCCGTGAAGCCTATTTTAAGCTCATCTTACACTTCCCTAGAAGATCCGAGGTGTTCTTCTATAGCATATTAAAGGTTCTTCTTCTTGGATAAAATATCAAAATGCCTTCAGAAGGAGGAGGGTAATATTCTACATCAATTGAAAGGTATTATTTCGACGAAAAATGACTAGAAAACGTCAGAAAATCAGCGGGTTCTGAATGTCGTCTATGTAAACGGTTTGAATGTCGTCCCCTTTGACGAACAGATAGTCGTCTCTACGGACGATCTGAAAGTCATCTCTACAGACGATCTGAAAGTCATCAACAAAGACGACCTGAAAATCGCCTCTAAAGACGACCTGAAAATCGTCTCTATAGAGATCGGAAAGTCAACCTGAAAGTCGTCTCTGCAAATGATCTGAAAGTCGTTTCCACAGACGATGTGAAAATCGTCTCTAAAGAGGGCCTGAAAATCATCTCTATAGATGACCTTAGTCGTTTCTATAGACGATCGGAAAGTCAACCTGAAAGTCGCTTCTGTAGACGATCTGAAAGTTTTCCCTTTAAACGACCTGAAAGTCGCTTCTGGAGACGATGTGAGAGTCATCCCTACAGACGACCTAAAAGTCGTCTTCACAAGCGATCTGAAAATCGTCTCTAAAGACGGCCTGAAAATTGTCCCTAAAGACGACCTTAGTCGTTTCTATAGGCGATCGGAAAGTCAACCTGAAAGTCGTCTCTGCAAACGACCTGAAAGTCGTCTTCACAAGCGATCTGAAAATCGTTTCTAAAGACGGCCTGAAAATTGTCCCTAAAGACGACCTTAGTCGTTTCTATGGACGATCGGAAAGTCAACCTGAAAGTCGTTTCTATAGACGATCTGAAAGTCTTCCCTATTGACCACCTGAAAGTCGTCTCTATAGACGATCTGAAAGTCATTTCTAATGACGTCCTGAAAATCGTCTCTTAAGACGACCTTAGTTGTCTCTATAGACGATCGGAAAGTCAACCTGAAAGCCGTATCTATAGACGATCTTAAAGTCTACTCTTTAGAAGACCTGAAAGTCACCTCTATAGACGATGTGAAAGTCTTCCCTTTAGACGAGCTGAAAGTCGTCTCTACAGACGATCTGAATGTCGTCCCCTTAGACGACTTAATAGTCGTCTCTACAGACGATCTGAAAGTCATCTTTGTGGACGATCTGAAAGTCGTCTCTATGACGACGTAGAAGTCGTCTCTAAAGACGACCTGTTAGTCGTCTATAAATTCGACCTGATAGTGGTCTCTACAGACGATCTGAAAGTCGACTCTATAGACGATCTGAACCTGAAAGTCTTCTCTAGGGACGATCTGAAAGTCATCTCTAAACACGATCTGAAAATCGTATCTTAAGACGACCTTAGTTGTCTCTATAGACGATCGGAAAGTCAACTTGAAAGCCATATCTATAGACGATCTGAAAGTCTTCCCTTTAGACGACCTGAAAGTCGCCTCTATAGACGATGTGAAAGTCTTCCCTTTAGACGACCTCTACAGACGATCTGAAAGTCATCTTTGTGGACGATCTGAAAGTCGTCTCTATGACGACGTAGAAGACGTCTCTAAAGACGACCTGTTAGTCGTCTATAAATTCGACCTGATAGTGGTCTCTACAGACAATCTGAAAGTCGACTCTATAGACGATCTGAACCAGAAAGTCTTCTCTAGGGACGATCTGAAAGTCGTCTCGGTAGAAGATCTGAAAGTCCTCTTTATAGATGATCTGAAAGTCGTCTGTGTAGACGATCTAAAGTCATCCTTTCATTTCGTTTATAAAGACGACTTGATAGTCATCTCTATGGATGATCTGAAAATAGTCCCTATAGACGTACTGAAAATCGTCTCCATAGACGACATGAAAGTCGTTAAGTCTTTGTTATTAATGTCGGATTTAACTTGATTTTACAAGGACAAAGAGTTTTACCGAAGTTTTCTATTCTATAACTGTCTTTAGAAAATGTAACGTTTTTTGACAGACATTTTTTGAACTCCTTCTGTTTCGTCTAGTAAGGGTTATTATTAGCTTTTCCTAGGATTTAGTACCAAAATCATGGTAATTGTCCTAGCAGGCAACATATTTTATCTTACGCATAGCTTGGCAACATTACTTGTGTTTTTTATCATCGACTATTGATTTTATATGAATTTGATACCAGAAAAGAGTTTTTTTAATAAATATTATTTATTTAAAACCCCTTGAATATTTTTAAGACGGAAACATTAAAACAACCCTTCCGCAAAGAGCCGGAATTTTTGCGCCCTTATATTATAATTTACCTTTTAATTAGATTTGGAAAAAGGTTTTTCTACTTAACAAAAAAAAAAAAAAAAAAAAAAAAAAAAAACACATGGTTACGGTATTTTTAGTAAAAGGGAAAGCTTTGCAACTCATTAACTTACCACCGCTAAATGGGTTTTGCAATTATCCAAGTAGATTAGATTAATGCCAAAGAAACACAAATAATAACACATTCAAAACCAAGCAAATCAACAATTATTAACAATTAGGAAAATCAGCTTTAATAAATCAAATTTATAAAATATACTACCTGCAAACATGAATATATATCAATTACTATACAACAACAACATATGCAAAACTCTCACTCCAAACACTTTCTAACAAAGACATATTTTATACTTATTATCAAAACCCAAAACAAAAACAGTTTAAATTAGAGGATGCCAATGCCGGCAATACATATCCACCGACCAATAGCACCATCATACCAAGTGCTCCAGCGGTTATTGCTGCTGCCAATTCCATGTCACAGCGTAGAATCAATAATGTGAACAATGCAAGTAAGTAAAATGCGTTTGGCATTCATTTACAGAAATCAATTCTAAACAATCTTCTCCTCTCCTTCTTACAGTTTCTTCATCCAATACATCATTGAATTCAATTGGTAGACCCGTTTCGGCCCCACCGATTAGTAATTTAAGCAGCGGCATCAACACCACCTCATCAAACAACACCACCTCCTCAGCAACAACAACAGCAACCAGTTCCAGCAATAATCAAAAGAGCGATGACAAAACAACTGATAATAGTTCCACAACCACCAATACCACCAGCAGTAGTGGAATCGGTTCTTCATATTCAGCACGTCGTGCCAGTGCCAATACATCATCATCAGCATCGTCTACAACCGCCTTAAATTCTGAAACATCATCTGCAGCCTCAGCGGCTGGTACCACCTCCTCCACAGCTACCAGTCTCAGCAATAATGATGATAAAGGTATTCAAAATTTTGAGGATTCCCAATTAGGAAGAAATATAAACTTGCTTATGATTCTCTACCTCCCATTTCTAGATAACGATAAGGAAAATGATAATCGCAGTGCTTTGGCCACCCAAGCCGTCATACAACGAAGAAGAAAACCAAAACGTCGCTCAACTGGTGTTGTACATATTGATATGGATGTAAGTTGAAGGAAAAACAAATAATGTTGTTGTAAATTAGAATAGGAGTAGAGACTAGAGATACAAAATGAATTCCATATGTAAACATTTTTTTAATGAGATTATGTTTCATAAACTTTAGACTTAAAACAAATTTACAGAAAGAAGCTTATCAAAATTGTAAAATTCTATCAGTATAAGTTTAATGTTTTTGGTTATTTGAACACAATAGAGCTCGGTTTCAGAACCTGCAAGGATCTACTATTCGTGCAATTTTCTTATCGATATCATAAAGGGAAACTCGGTTATCATAGTAAATATTTTCACATTATTGCACTTCTGGCACAGATCAGAAATGTATCAGATTCTATCAGGCATTCCTAAACAAGAAATTATTTTTAAGTTTTTTTGGCTAGTTGGTTGGGAATATTAAACTAGGCGAATTAGCTACATTTGGATCGTTAACTTAAAATCACTTTGGAAATGTGCTCTACTGGCCCAATGCTATGATGATTATAAGATTTCTTGCAACCCAAATCATTTTACTTCGCAAACGATATCAGCGGTAGCAGCTCCACTCGGTGACCTATGGTCCATTGTGTTTATCCTAAAAAGAATATGCAGTGATGATATCAAGAAAAAGAAGGATATAGAATCGAAAGGAAAGAATGGATTGTAGAAATTATTATTTGCCTAGCCATTTAAGAAATAGTCTATGCCTTCTGTTTGATAACATGATATATCTGCATAGAAGGTGTTCAATCGTCTCTACCTCTTCTGTTATCCCATGATGAGGTCAGATATCCGAAGGGATCTCCAGATGTTTGGAATTTTGATGATTGTATCCACATTTTCAACGGGATTGTTTGAATTTGGTATAAGAAGTTCGTTGCAGACACCAACCTACCAAGCTGAAAGTGGTCTATACAAATTCACTCCATAGATAGGTACCTCCAAATAGCTCAATTGGTTGAAATACAGGATGAGATAATAAAACTGCAACAAAGTCAAACGCCATAATTTTTACATTTTTTTAAATTTATTGAATGAAAACAAATATGTCGGAAATAGAATCAAATTTTAGAATAAGTTTAGATTTATTCGAATTGGTCACCTTTGGCACGAATTATGGCCTTCAAACGGCCGATGAAACCGTCACACGCTGCCCGAATGTTGCTCTGCGGCATTTTGGTCCATTCCCGGCGAAGGAATGAATGAAAGGTCCAAGTTTAGAGGCCAAAATGTTTGCGTGCCCGAGGCTTTAATACACCCTCCAGAATATTTTCGTGATAATATTCGGCATTTATTCTGAACGTAGAGCGAGCATCGGCTGTTATGGCGTCCAACACCATCACCATGGCCGGCGCTTAAGTTCTGGTGGCCAACCGAAGGTGCACATTTCAGCTGACCTCTTTGGCAAGTAAACACGATCATTTTGTTTGTTTACAAACTGCTGGACAACGAATGTTTTCTCATCGAAGAAAACCAAATTCGGCAGTTCACCACTTTCGGCTAAGCGAAGGAATTCTTTAGCTCATTTGAGTCTATTTTCTTTCTGTTCTTCCGTTCACTTCCTTACTTGGCGTCGGGCTACGCTACCAGTATCATGGTAACGAGCGATGAGACGAGACAAAAGATTTATTCACAATTAAATGCAGGAGTGCTCTAACGATAGCCCCCTTGTGGTTTTCCAGTCAAATATAAAGAAATCACACTATCCCGCTTGAATTCCATTATGAATAAATTTTTTTCGGGAAAATTCCCACCAAAATGCTTTTGTACGCTTGTAAACAATATAATGAGCTGTCACTGGAATAATTTTAACAGCTGTCGGACTAGTGGTGTAGAAATGACAGCAGTCTGAAATTGGTTGCTGTTTTTTCATCACACCCTGTAGGTCCATGCTTTTCTATAGCTGTACCTATCGAAATTCAGTGGGTTGAATGCCGTAAGGGCGTTGGTCCTACATAGATGCCTGGCTTTACGAATTTTGATGTCGAACCCCTCTCCAAGTTCGGCCTCCTCAGTAGTATTAGGGCGTGACTGTAGTTAGAGTTGCCTTTGAGGCTCCACATGCTGGCTTGCTATTAGCTGCATCCTTGAATAACCCCTTAAACGAAAAGTGGTCCACAGGTGGGCATGTGTTCTTTTTGATTCCGGTAGCTGGAATAGTTGTAGATGTTTCTTGTGTATCCTGCAGGCTACTTCCTAACCCATTTTGATATGGATCTTCTCTCTAAAACTGTATTTTAAGAATGTAGGAGATTAGTTTAACGACTTCTAGAGATTAAAAATGTCTTCTAAATTAAAATATAATCTTGTTCATTGAATCTAAAGAATTTACCAACCAATCGTAATTATCACTCGCCACCATTCCAAGTTCTTCCACTCAAAATACTTCCACTGAGACGGAATAAGCATGACGAAACACTAATCAGCTGTTTCTTATTTGCTAATCAATTTTATGCATGACAATTTTATTTCTCAAGAAAATAACCAAAATAATCTTTCCCAAAAACGAAAGATAGATCACCAGCAGCAAAGCAGCAGCAGTAGCAGCAACAGATCAAATCATACATTCCAACAAGATACAAGACATTACATTGTTTTCAAACCAAAATCAATCTCTGTATAACACTTGCAAATAATTCATCTTTTCTGCCTTTTTTCAATTGATTTATTTGTATTAAAATGCGTCTTTTGCATTTTTCAGGAACTAGATCCAGAGAAGCAAGATTCTGCCAACGACAATGAGGAAAAAGATAAAGAAAAGGAGGTAAGTGTGAATTTTTGTGTTTCGTAGTTGGATGGCGGCAGGCTGACCACCCCTGCCATCATCCATAATCATCTATCTTTTAGCAAAAAAAAAAAAGTTTTAATATTTTTCTTTACAACAAATGCAAATTTCTTTCATCGTTCAACAATTATTATTTCTTTTGAGAAAATGACGAAAATCGTCATCATCCATGTGTGTGTGTGTGGGGGTTCATTCGTTAATCGCCTTCTGTTAATTTCTGGCGAAAAATGTGGAAATTAAATTAACCCCCGTCGCCACAAATCACATGATAATGGCGTTGTGTTAATTTTGCTTTATAAAATTATAATTGGGGAACGATTCACTTTTAATTAAAATAATTACAAAGACAATTTTGAAAAAAAGGCGACGGAATTTTTTCTCTCGCTTTATATGTGGTTAAACATGGATGTACTACTTTTCTCTGCTTTTATTTTAATTAAAATAATTTTATTGGAATTTAGATAATTAAGATGGTCATTTTCAAGGAACTTTTGAATTTAGAATGAAGGTATTTTCTATAAATTTCATAGAGGGGCTTGAGAAATATTTAAGAAAAAATAAATAGAAAAAATATTATTGTCTTTCTGGACGACAATGAAAAACAATATATTAACAATATAAGATGTATTTAGAAATCTTCAACTATTTTTTCAGAACATCCAAAGCTATAATCGTGGACTACAAATGTTTTTTTTTTTATTAATACTTTTTATACCCTCCGCCATTCTATGGAGGGTATATTAACGTTGTCATTCCGTTTGTAACTCCTCGAAATATTTATAATTAACCCTACAAAGTATATATATTCTGGATCAGCGTAAAATTATAAGACGATCTAGCGACGTCCGTCTGTCTGTTGTAATCACGCTATCTTTCCAACGAATTGAGATAGAAGGCTAAAAATTTGCATATATGCATAGTTTACCAGTAGGCAGTTTAAGTTCGTAAATGTGCCATGTCGGTCCACGTTTTCGTATAGCCCCCATAAAATGGTACCTCGCCATGATTTTAGCGACAGTAATTATCGCAATTATTTCAAATTTCATATTTGAAGTTCGTAATGCGACCCTACAGCCTATGACAAAAATGTTTGTATGCAGGTCCACATCTTCGTATATCCCCCATATGACGGTACCTCCCAATACTCGGTATTTCTATGATTTGTGCGACATTGTTTACCGGAATTGTAACAAATTTCGTATTTAAAGTTCGTAATGGGTACTACAGCCTATGACAAAAATTCGTATGTAGGTCCACGGTTCGGTATTTTGATGATTTTAGCGACATTATTAACCGGAACTGTTTCAAATTTGGTATTTGAAGTTCGTAATGGCTACTACAGCCTATGACAAAATTTCTTAAGCAGGTCCACGTCTTCTAGTTTTTTTTTTTTTTTAATTTTCAAGTTCCTTCCAAATGTTGGAGGGTATTAAAAGTTCGGCCTGGCCAAACTTAGCTGCTTTTTTACTTGTTAATACATATTATCGGATCAGTAAGAGCCCGAAAAGGCCTTTAAAGAAATATTCTTTAAAATCTACGTTATAATGTATCCACGTTCATAACCTGGTTAGTCTTTCGAAAAATGTCCTTTATTCTTTAAAAAATCAATGTTCATAGAATCATTAGTCCTTCAAAACTTTCTTTTTAATCCACGTCTAGCCTTGGCAATCTTTCGAAAAATATTAATTTGATTGATATTTAAGTTTGTCCTTCGAAAAATTTTCTTTAAAAGTGATGTTTATAGCCTTATTCGAAATTATAGTCTTAATAGTGCTACAAGAATATTCTTTAAAAATCTACCATTCTACCCTCGAAATTATTTTAAGAATCACATTTTCTAACCTCGATCCTCAACTTTTTTAAATTAAATTTCAAGACTCTGTAGTCCTTCGATATTCCTTAAAAATCCACTTTTCGAGCCTTAATAGTCGAAAAAAAAAATCCTTAAAAATAACCCTTGGATCTGTGAATCGCGGTTCATCGACTGGCCGTTGCAGTATCAGATATCTGATTTTTAGATGGGATAACGGTAGTCTCGACTACTGTAGCCTACGTGAGGACGAAGAAGTGGTATAGACGATTGAACATCTACTACGCAGATGTCCATCGCTGTGAAGCAAAAGACATAGGCTGTTCGGTAGGTGGGAGTTAGAAATTCGAACGTTCTTCTATGACGTAGATCCCATTACCATCGACAGGTTGGTTAAAAACATATTATGGCTAGGCAAACCTTCCCAATTAATATATTTCCTATCATAACTTCTTAGGATGAACACAATGGACCATCATCCTATAACCTAACCTTATAATAAGGGTTTTTTTAAGAACACCAACACTGGGATCGTAGGATATTCTTTAAATTACCACCAAGGCTATATGGATTTTAAAAATATTTTTTAGGATAATCCTTGCGGTATAAAATCATCTATAGAGGTTTCCGTTTTTGGAGTGGCCCCATTCAAAGGTCTCACCCATTTTATGTTTTTTTTTTTTTTTGAAAGTTTAATAGCATTATATAAACGGTCTTACTGGTACCTGTAGTTTAAAGTGAAACACGTTTGAATGCAGATACTTTTATATAAAAGTGTTTTCTTTACCCAAAAGTGGAGGGTATTGAAATTTCAGCCCGATCGAACTTAATGATTTTTTACTTGTTAAGAATGTATTTTTTCGAAGAGCACAAAGGCCATAATTGGGAATATTTAAAAATTAATTTTTAAGAGCCAATAATCGGATACAGTCGCGGCTGTGAAAGAATTAGTATTTTTCTAGAGCCTCTTAAGCAATAATTGTGGGTGTTTAAAATCATTTTTGAGGACCCTCAAGGAACCATCAAGGCCATAGACGGATGGATTTCTGGCTTTGATAATCGATTTTTATACATTTTGAAGGACATTTAAATCTGCAATCGAGGTGAATTTTGCAATAATTGTGAATTTTTTTTATTTTTTTTTTTTACTGGTCCACGAAAAAGCTACTTTCTTACTTATGTTTTTAAGAAATGCCAAGGATATACTCGAGCATTTTTAATTTTTTTCTTCAAAAACCGCTGAATCCATATTCGTGGTGATCATTGCGATTTTCACGCCACCACTTTCCATTTAATGACGCCACATTTTTATCAAACCAAAACTGACATCCACAATAGCTTTATTAAAATACAATTAGAAAACATCCATCAAATCGCAGTGGACATTTGGCTGCAACTTTGAGATTTCACTGTGTGTCCATCCATCTTTCAACCAATAAATAAATGCCATTGAAATTGGACATCTGTTGGCTACAAACAAAAAATATGAAAAAATATATATATGAGTCAAATTTTGCAGGTTCTGCGAACAGATAATTATTTAGGACACGGCAAGAATTCAGGTCAATGCAACCCAACTTTCACACAATTCATAATTATATTGGGAAAAAACAATTTTTTAATTTTTGACATGCGTTCCTTTTCGGCCACAGGTAGGTAAAAAGTGACAGCAACAAATCATAATCATCACTAACACAACCCACTTGGCATATGGGTGTGAACGTTGGACGACATCAACAGCCTTAAATGTTTTCAATTTAGACAGACGTTTCCTATTCAATTTTCTTTGTGCAGGAAAGCCCCCGGCCCCAAAAACTGAAAAGCAAACGTAAGAATAGACATTGATGTCATCAAAAACACCTTAAAAATTGAATTGAAATAATTACAAATATGCGACACTTTGTTGATGATGGTGTTGTATTTGTTGTTGCGGTTCTGTTTGCTTTTGCACAAGTGAAAGTTTGAACTAATTCTAATTTCGTTGGCGTAATGTGGCCAATTGTATACGAATGACAATTTGTTGGCATTTTTTGTTGAAATTATTTAGAACGTGCCTGCAAAGACAGGTTTCCTCATTATTTTAGGCATCAAGAGATACAGTAGATACAGTAGCTGTTAAAAAAGTATATACATAGAACCAATATATGATCTTCTCACTATTGAAAACCTGGGACTTAATTCTCTCATTCGAGAAAAATTCGATCAAAATTAATTTTAATATGATTTGATTTAAATTTTCATTTCAATTTTCATTAATATCAATCTACAAAGCATACAAAAATTCATTTCGATCGAAAAATTTCGATATCAAATGCAAGAGTTTGGAAAGCATATCCATAGAATATGCACAGGGTGAAATAAAAAATTGCAACAAAGTAAAACGCCATAATTTTTAGATTTTTTTTAAATTTTATTGAATGAAAGCAAAAAATGTCGGAAATAGCATAAATTTTTAGAATATGTTTAGATTTGTCCCAATTGGTCACATTTGACACGAATTATGGCCTTCAAACGGCCAATGAAACCGTCACACACTGCCCGAATGTTGCTCTGCGGTATTTTGGCCCATTCCCGGCGAAACGTTTGCTTGAGGTGATTAACACTTTGATATTTTTTAATACCAACCTTACTTTCCAAAATACTCCAGACACAATAGTCCAACGGATTGGTATCTGGAGATTTTGGTGGCCGTTGTGCGCTGGAAATGAAGCGAGGAACCTAATTTTGTAACCATTTTTGGGTGGCGCGTGCTCAGTGCGATGGTGCTGAGTCCTGTTGGAATATCTAAGGTTTGCGGTCAAAGGGTTTGCGTGCCCAAGGCTTTAATACACCCTCCAGAATATTTTCGCGATAATCGGCATTTATTCTGATGCCACAGTCGATTAATACTAGTGTAGAGCGACCATTGGCTGTTATGGCGGCCCACACCATCACCATGGCCGGTGCTTGGGTTCTAGTGGCCAACCGAAGGTGGGCATTTTTCGCTGACCTCTTTGGCAAGTACACATGATCATTTTGTTTGTTTACAAACTGCTGGACAACGAATGTTTTCTCATCGGACAAAAGCAAATTCGAAATAACAAGTGAAACAACTCTTTAGCTCTTTTGAGTCTATTTTCTTTCTGTTGCGGTGTAAGTTCTTGCAGTTTTTGAAATTTCAATAGCTTTA